TTATAAAAATATCTAATAAATGTTTCTTTGTTTATAAAAATATCTAATAAATGTTTCTTTGTTTATAAAAATATCTAATAAATGTTTCTTTGTTTATAAAAATATCTAATAAATGTTTCTTTGTTTATAAAAATATCTAATAAATGTTTCTTTGTTTATAAAAATATCTAAAAAATGTTTCTTTGTTTATAAAAATATCTAATAAATGTTTCTTTGTTTATAAAAATATCTAATAAATGTTTCTTTGTTTATAAAAATATCTAATAAATGTTTCTTTGTTTATAAAAATATCTAATAAATGTTTCTTTGTTTATAAAAATATCTAAAAAATGTTTCTTTGTTTATAAAAATATCTAATAAATGTTTCTTTGTTTATAAAAATATCTAAAAAATGTTTCTTTGTTTATAAAAATATCTAATAAATGTTTCTTTGTTTATAAAAATATCTAAAAAATGTTTCTTTGTTTATAAAAATATCTAATAAATGTTTCTTTGTTTATAAAAATATCTAATAAATGTTTCTTTGTTTATAAAAATATCTAAAAAATGTTTCTTTGTTTATAAAAATATCTAAAAAATGTTTCTTTGTTTATAAAAATATCTAATAAATGTTTCTTTGTTTATAAAAATATCTAATAAATGTTTCTTTGTTTACAAAAATATCTAAAAAATGTTTCTTTGTTTATAAAAATATCTAAAAAATGTTTCTTTGTTTATAAAAATATCTAATAAATGTTTCTTTGTTTATAAAAATATCTAATAAATGTTTCTTTGTTTATAAAAATATCTAATAAATGTTTCTTTGTTTATAAAAATATCTAAAAAATGTTTCTTTGTTTATAAAAATATCTAATAAATGTTTCTTTGTTTATAAAAATATCTAATAAATGTTTCTTTGTTTATAAAAATATCTAAAAAATGTTTCTTTGTTTATAAAAATATCTAATAAATGTTTCTTTGTTTATAAAAATATCTAATAAATGTTTCTTTGTTTATAAAAATATCTAATAAATGTTTCTTTGTTTATAAAAATATCTAATAAATGTTTCTTTGTTTATAAAAATATCTAATAAATGTTTCTTTGTTTATAAAAATATCTAAAAAATGTTTCTTTGTTTATAAAAATATCTAATAAATGTTTCTTTGTTTATAAAAATATCTAATAAATGTTTCTTTGTTTATAAAAATATCTAAAAAATGTTTCTTTGTTTATAAAAATATCTAATAAATGTTTCTTTGTTTATAAAAATATCTAATAAATGTTTCTTTGTTTATAAAAATATCTAAAAAATGTTTCTTTGTTTATAAAAATATCTAATAAATGTTTCTTTGTTTATAAAAATATCTAATAAATGTTTCTTTGTTTATAAAAATATCTAAAAAATGTTTCTTTGTTTATAAAAATATCTAATAAATGTTTCTTTGTTTATAAAAATATCTAATAAATGTTTCTTTGTTTATAAAAATATCTAATAAATGTTTCTTTGTTTATAAAAATATCTAAAAAATGTTTCTTTGTTTATAAAAATATCTAAAAAATGTTTCTTTGTTTATAAAAATATCTAATAAATGTTTCTTTGTTTATAAAAATATCTAATAAATGTTTCTTTGTTTATAAAAATATCTAATAAATGTTTCTTTGTTTATAAAAATATCTAATAAATGTTTCTTTGTTTATAAAAATATCTAATAAATGTTTCTTTGTTTATAAAAATATCTAAAAAATGTTTCTTTGTTTATAAAAATATCTAAAAAATGTTTCTTTGTTTAAAAAAATATCAAATAAATGTTTCTTTGTTTATAAAAATATCTAATAAATGTTTCTTTGTTTATAAAAATATCTAATAAATGTTTCTTTGTTTATAAAAATATCTAATAAATGTTTCTTTGTTTATAAAAATATCTAATAAATGTTTCTTTGTTTATAAAAATATCTAATAAATGTTTCTTTGTTTATAAAAATATCTAATAAATGTTTCTTTGTTTATAAAAATATCTAATAAATGTTTCTTTGTTTATAAAAATATCTAAAAAATGTTTCTTTGTTTATAAAAATATCTAATAAATGTTTCTTTGTTTATAAAAATATCTAATAAATGTTTCTTTGTTTATAAAAATATCTAATAAATGTTTCTTTGTTTATAAAAATATCTAAAAAATGTTTCTTTGTTTATAAAAATATCTAATAAATGTTTCTTTGTTTATAAAAATATCTAATAAATGTTTCTTTGTTTATAAAAATATCTAAAAAATGTTTCTTTGTTTATAAAAATATCTAAAAAATGTTTCTTTGTTTATAAAAATATCTAATAAATGTTTCTTTGTTTATAAAAATATCTAATAAATGTTTCTTTGTTTATAAAAATATCTAATAAATGTTTCTTTGTTTATAAAAATATCTAATAAATGTTTCTTTGTTTATAAAAATATCTAATAAATGTTTCTTTGTTTATAAAAATATCTAAAAAATGTTTCTTTGTTTATAAAAATATCTAAAAAATGTTTCTTTGTTTATAAAAATATCAAATAAATGTTTCTTTGTTTATAAAAATATCTAATAAATGTTTCTTTGTTTATAAAAATATCTAATAAATGTTTCTTTGTTTATAAAAATATCTAATAAATGTTTCTTTGTTTATAAAAATATCTAATAAATGTTTCTTTGTTTATAAAAATATCTAAAAAATGTTTCTTTGTTTATAAAAATATCTAATAAATGTTTCTTTGTTTATAAAAATATCTAATAAATGTTTCTTTGTTTATAAAAATATCTAAAAAATGTTTCTTTGTTTATAAAAATATCTAAAAAATGTTTCTTTGTTTATAAAAATATCTAATAAATGTTTCTTTGTTTATAAAAATATCTAATAAATGTTTCTTTGTTTATAAAAATATCTAATAAATGTTTCTTTGTTTATAAAAATATCTAATAAATGTTTCTTTGTTTATAAAAATATCTAATAAATGTTTCTTTGTTTATAAAAATATCTAAAAAATGTTTCTTTGTTTATAAAAATATCTAAAAAATGTTTCTTTGTTTATAAAAATATCAAATAAATGTTTCTTTGTTTATAAAAATATCTAATAAATGTTTCTTTGTTTATAAAAATATCTAATAAATGTTTCTTTGTTTATAAAAATATCTAAAAAATGTTTCTTTGTTTATAAAAATATCTAAAAAATGTTTCTTTGTTTATAAAAATATCTAATAAATGTTTCTTTGTTTATAAAAATATCTAATAAATGTTTCTTTGTTTATAAAAATATCTAATAAATGTTTCTTTGTTTATAAAAATATCTAATAAATGTTTCTTTGTTTATAAAAATATCTAATAAATGTTTCTTTGTTTATAAAAATATCTAAAAAATGTTTCTTTGTTTATAAAAATATCTAATAAATGTTTCTTTGTTTATAAAAATATCTAATAAATGTTTCTTTGTTTATAAAAATATCTAATAAATGTTTCTTTGTTTATAAAAATATCTAATAAATGTTTCTTTGTTTATAAAAATATCTAAAAAATGTTTCTTTGTTTATAAAAATATCTAAAAAATGTTTCTTTGTTTATAAAAATATCAAATAAATGTTTCTTTGTTTATAAAAATATCTAATAAATGTTTCTTTGTTTATAAAAATATCAAATAAATGTTTCTTTATTTATAAAAATATCTAATAAATGTTTCTTTGTTTATAAAAATATCTAAAAAATGTTTCTTTGTTTATAAAAATATCTAAAAAATGTTTCTTTGTTTATAAAAATATCTAAAAAATGTTTCTTTGTTTATAAAAATATCTAATAAATGTTTCTTTGTTTATAAAAATATCTAATAAATGTTTCTTTGTTTATAAAAATATCTAATAAATGTTTCTTTGTTTATAAAAATATCTAATAAATGTTTCTTTGTTTATAAAAATATCTAATAAATGTTTCTTTGTTTATAAAAATATCTAAAAAATGTTTCTTTGTTTATAAAAATATCTAATAAATGTTTCTTTGTTTATAAAAATATCTAATAAATGTTTCTTTGTTTATAAAAATATCTAATAAATGTTTCTTTGTTTATAAAAATATCTAATAAATGTTTCTTTGTTTATAAAAATATCTAATAAATGTTTCTTTGTTTATAAAAATATCTAAAAAATGTTTCTTTGTTTATAAAAATATCTAAAAAATGTTTCTTTGTTTATAAAAATATCTAATAAATGTTTCTTTGTTTATAAAAATATCTAATAAATGTTTCTTTGTTTATAAAAATATCTAATAAATGTTTCTTTGTTTATAAAAATATCTAATAAATGTTTCTTTGTTTATAAAAATATCTAAAAAATGTTTCTTTGTTTATAAAAATATCTAAAAAATGTTTCTTTGTTTATAAAAATATCTAATAAATGTTTCTTTGTTTATAAAAATATCTAATAAATGTTTCTTTGTTTATAAAAATATCTAATAAATGTTTCTTTGTTTATAAAAATATCTAATAAATGTTTCTTTGTTTATAAAAATATCTAATAAATGTTTCTTTGTTTATAAAAATATCTAAAAAATGTTTCTTTGTTTATAAAAATATCTAAAAAATGTTTCTTTGTTTATAAAAATATCTAATAAATGTTTCTTTGTTTATAAAAATATCTAATAAATGTTTCTTTGTTTATAAAAATATCTAATAAATGTTTCTTTGTTTATAAAAACGGGTCTAACATGTAACAAACATTTCAATTAATTAATACTTCGAATCTGAGAAAAACTGTTTTTAAAAACAACCAAAAGTTAAAGCCTAAAATCTCTAACGCCCTATAAACCCTTTTCTATTAGGGTGTTTGGGTGCCTGTATCTGCGAAAAAAAAAAAAATTTTTTTTAAAAAAGATCTTTATGATGACTAGAGTCACTGATAAAAATTTCAATGTGACAGCTTTAAAAATAAAAGAATTATGATTTTTTGTCCATTTTATATCGATCTTGGCCCACTGTGCTATGAAACATTATGATTACAAATTTACCATAAACGTAACACATCCATTTTAGTAGCAATTCTCTGAGGATTTAACATAAGAATTCCTTGAAAAACTTTAGATAAGTCCCTTAAATTAAATGTGTAATGGCTTTTAGCAGGTGTAGGTAACAACTAAAAAATCAAAACATTTTTATTTGTATAAATTTAAATATGTAATATTACATCAAGTATAAACATTTGTGTTACTTGAGTAGTGATGTTGTTGTATACAGATAAAGTGTGGTCAACCAATAAATCACTCAAAAATGTTTTTTCAGTCTCTATTAGACCTAAATGATGAAAATAATTAAATATTTTTAAAACATATATATATATATATATATATATATATATATATATATATATATATATATATATATATATATATATATATATATATATATATATATATATATATATATATATATATATATATATATATATATATATATATATATATATATATATATTTAATGGTAATAACACAAACTTTTAAAATGAGAATAAATATTTCTAACCTTCAATTGAAGTTTTATCTAAAAAAGAAACAAACTTGAAAAAAAGCGTTTGATATATGGATGGTGTAAAGGCCAAATGAACTAACGCTTCAATTTTTGGTTTTTATTATTATTGTGTTTCTGAATTAATAAGACTATGTTTTATTTATAACCAAGTGGACTAACCCATCAACAACATAGATTACTGTTAAAAATTATTTATTTTATTATTTTTTTTAACTAAATATAATTCATAATTAATTAAAAAAACGGCCTTCTGAACAATTTCAAAAATTGAGGTTAGTCCACTTGGCCTTAACACCATTCATATGACATACTACACAACAAACCATTCATATGACATATTATGATATTCATATGACATATTATACACAACAAACATTCTGTTTTTACATTTTTTTCTTTTTTTTAAAGTGTAATAAAAAAATGTAATTAAAATATCTTTATCATTTTTGTCAATAGGTTTCTTTTATACTATGATATTACCTGCTCAATAGCTACATCAGCCAGTGCCATAATTTATAAAAACCTTACATTTTGAAACGCACACTCATTCCTATTTAAAATTAAATTTTTATTTGAGTTTCTATTTTATGTTTTTTATAATTGCACAATCAAAAGTGTTTTTGTTGCACAACTAACACATTTAGGTATGAAATCAGTTATTTAAAAAACATCCTATTTTTTATGAAAACTTTCAACAAGAAACTTTATTTCATAAATTATTTATTATTTATAGTTGAAATTTGTTTTTTTTTTTAATTTTCTTATATGTATGTTTTCAATATTTAAACAAAATATTTAAATATATTTTGTTAAGTTGAGAAAAGTAGTTGCATTATAAACATACATACATAGAAAAAAAAAATGAAAAAAAAATTAGGGTTAATGTTCAGGGTTCCTAATGTAATCCTTCAATATAACAAAAATAATTCAAAAAAAAAAAATTGTCATAATTTTTTTGGTTTTCTAAAAAGCAATTTTAGTGTACTACTGCAACTATATAATTGTTTTAACATTTAGTTGACAATTCAAAGTCACTTTAATGTTTAAACATTTAGCAGCCATTTTAAGCTCAAAGAATCAGTTTATTTAATAAATTACAGGTTTTTTTTAATTTCTAAATCTAATTTCATATTTTCTTATTTTGATTTTCTTATTTTAACTTATATTTCCTTGTAATAAATCAAGTCTAAAATAAGAAAAATATAAAATATAATAATTAGGAAAAAAATTATATTCAATTCATGAAGATGAACGATGTTAACTAATCAAATAATTGACTTAATAAATAAAATAATTTCTTGTCAATGTATTAGGTAATAGACGAGAAATATTATCATAATAATTAAAAAAACTTGATTGCCAGCCATTTATTAAATCTCAAACTCTGTTTTTATCTCTTGAAAACTTTAAGCTAATGGACGAATGTTTTTATAGTTGCTTTTTAAAACTTCAATGGAATTAAGTTGAGGAGATTAAGGTGAGCGAAATTTATACAATATGTTGATCTATTCATTTAATAATTTCAAAATATAAGATTGATGATGAAACTGACAATTAACCATTATTAAAATACAATCTTGATTTTGAACAAAATATGGGAATAGTATTCTGTTTATAAAATCAATGAAATGATCACCACTATAAGCTCTATCTGTTAACTCTATCCAATTATCCCAGTAAATGAAATGGCTGCCATCAAGCTTATATTTTATCCTCTCTTAGCTGGAACCATTGCATATGCTTTCATGTTTATTGGAGCATATCTATAATTAGATGAGGTATAGAGATTGAATCAAATTTTGAGGAAAACTTTTTTCCTTTTCTTATAATGAGTTTATAACCTGATATATTGGCAAAGATTTTATTTGCGTTTTTTAAAACACAGCTATACAACAATTCCCAGGTTTGGCTGATTTCTTTAACTTCTTTTCCTCTATCGAGTAAGTTGCGTATCATTTTTAATAAATCAGATGTTAAAGTATTCCTTTTTTTTTTTGCTGGTTTTCCGTTATTAAGGTATATAAACTGATTATCAACAAAAATTATATTTTTTTTTAATTTAAAAAATACTTTTTTACTAATTCTATCCAATAAAAAATGAATATAGATATATACTGAGATGCATCACAATAAAATTTATATTTCTGCATTTTTTTAGTTTATATATCAGCATAATTTAATTTATATTTCCGCATAAAAAAATTTATATTTCTGCATAAAATAATTTATATTTCTGCATAACCCTGTAACATTTAGTTAACAATTAGATAATTAACAATTTTGTCCTCATAGCATAATTAAATAATAGAAATACTTCAGTCTGTAAAATAAATGATTCTGGATAATCCCGACAGATTTAATAAAAACTGGATCACTGTTTAAAATTTCAAGTCAAATGTAATAATGGTTCAAAAATATCACAACTTTTAAAAAAATATCAAACTATTTAAAGTTGATATGTTCAGTTTGTTTGTACAGTCCATTTTCAGCAATTTACTGACCGATCTGTAATTTATGCGATTATCTCACTGGCCGGTCTGTAAATTATACAATAGTTTTCAAATGATTTATTTTTTGGATTCCATGATTCCTTTAAGCATATTTGCATGGTATAATTATAAAATTTCGTTCTCCAAAAATAAGAAAATAATATAAAAACCTTCAGGCTGTAAAAATAGATGATTCTGGACAATGGCAACAGATTTAAAAATATATATATATATTTTTTTATTTTCTTATAGTTGATTGATTATTATGAAAAATTTCAAGTCAAATTTAATGGTAATTCAAAAGTTATTAAAAAGTCAGTATTACCCCAAAAATATATAAATTAGTAAAAAATCTCAGTCTGTAAAATAGGTAATTCTGGACAATCCTGACAGATTTAAAGAAAAATTTTTGGAATTTTGTTTTCTTATAGTGGGTCACTTTGGAAAATTTCAAGTCAAATGTACTAACAGTTCAAAAGTTATTCAAAAGTCAAAAATACTCTCATTTACGGTGCCATAATACAGCAAGTTTTCCATACTTAAGCCCTATACCTATTGTCAAAAAATCATCAATTTTTCCACTAAAAAAGTTCAATAACTTTTGATCCACTTATCTTCAAAGGCCGAATGACACCTCATTTTTTAAGTCAAGCCAAGCTCTATACAATGACATCATAATTTAAACAATTAAACATCATTTGATTATTTAAATTATAAAAAAATCGTCTGGAATCGCTATGAATGGGTATATTTTTAAAAGCTGACATTACTAAATTTGTTTATAGAAATATATGCTTTTAGATATTTGGTTGCAAAAACATCCCCTGTTTCTACAGGGGATGTTGTTTTTTTTTAAACAAGCCACTTTTAGAGCCACTTGATATTTTGAATAAAATGCCAAAAGCTTATTATGTTATTGGACAGTTTAATTGCTTATCAAATTTAGAGAAGTCGGTTTATTCAAGATTTGGCGCATAATTATCTGATTTATGGCTACAGCTTAGTTTACCAAAAATAAATGAAAAGTCTATAAGAAAAAAAGTGAAAATTCTCATTAACAAATATCATTCAGTTCAAAAATCTAAACAATGTCTTGAAGAAAAGTGGGATTATTTATTTGATGTAACTAAAGTAAATGGTAACTGGCTTAGCAACGAAGACAAAGCATTTTATTTTTTACAAGAGGATACTAATGGTCAAGTTGGTTATTGAACATCAAAAACTGTTAAAGTATATCCATCTAAGGCTAGCAGGAAGAGACCTAGCATACCTGAAACAGATATAGTAGAGGTCAGTGACAACAATGAAGAAGGCAATGAACAAGATGATAAACAAGATTCTAATTATATTCTTTCAGACAAAAATGTTAAGAGAAAATATGAGAATACCACAGTGGATTTTAACTTAGTTAAGAAGTCAAAACTAAGTATTGAGAAAAGCAGCAGAAGTTTGCAAAAATTTATCTGAATGTGGCATCAATGTAATCAACATACTTTATGATCTAATAACATTAAAATAACTTATTTAAAACTGAAATTTTCAAATTGGTTGTAAATCCATTACATGATCCAAATCAATCATGTAATCAAAAATTTATCATATTTAAAATAAAAATTATAAAATTTTATATATATAAAACTAAATTTTTTTTTGCAAAAAGCAATTATTTTTAAATGGAATTTTAAACTTAAATAAACTGGTGTACTTTTTCAATAAAAAAAAACTTTTTTTTTAATCAAAAAAGTATAATGTAATTTATATACATTTTTAATAGAGATTGAATGAGCAAAAGGAGGGTGGGGGTGGGTGATTGGTTGTATGAAGAGTTGCTCATTATGAAGTTGCTCAATATAAGGTGGAATGGAGCACAAAGCCATTCTGCAACCATTTTTTAAAGTATATGTAAACTATCCAACAACTTTTTTATATCTCCTATAATATAATAATCGTTAGAAGTATTATTCATTACTAGCAAAGAAGTATTATTCATTACAAGAAAACTCATAAAACAGGTCACGGGGAAATTAATTGAATAATTAAGTAATGGGGTTAATTAGTCTAATAAAAGTAATGTAATTATTTGCTTAAGTTATAATACTTTTATTAGTAACGATTGTGCTATTATTTTTTCAATAGATATATTGCTCATGTGGATATGATATGTTATATGTCTTTTTAGTATAAAATAGTTAATGAATAAAGATTCCAAAACAATGTTTTAAATCAACTTTCAAGATTAAGCATAAAAATCCGAAAAGAAAGTAGGCACTATATATTCAATTTTCCTGCAATTTTACCAAAGAATAAGCTGCTTACAATCAACCAAGTTGTCAGACATTTTGTACAACTCAAAGAAAAACTAAAGTCACAGAATGCTACAACTATTATTAAAATCACAAATGATGTATTGGAATTATGAAACATTTGTTCTTGTAACTGCCAAATCCGATTAGATGATTTTTTTGGAGATAAATTTGCAGATTATAAATATAAAAAGATTATAAAGGTAAAAGCAAAGACATTGCAACATGCCAGAAATTACCAAAATGGATAATATATATATATATATATATATATATATATATATATATATATATATATATATATATATATATATATATATATATATATATATATATATATATATATATCTGTGTGTGTGTGTTCCATCAATAAAGACTCATCAGAAATTACGTTTCTGATGAGTCTTCATTGATAAAATTTTTGATAAGTGATTTTCTACTAATTTATTAATGCTCTGTTCTTTTAAAAGCATTGAGCACTCTATTTTGTAAAATATTTTTTATAATTGTTTATATATATATATATATATATATATATATATATATATATATATATATATATATATATATATATATATATATATATATATATATATATATATATATATATATATATACATATATATATATATATATATATATATATATATATATATATATATATATATATATATATATATATATATATCAATATATATCCATATATATATATATATATATATATATATATATATATATATATATTAGGGCAGGTCAATTTTTTTTTTTTTTGAAGCGTATAGCATATTCGGATTCTATGTAAAATTCTAAAAAAAAATGCTAAACAAACCACACCACCAAATTTAATTTTGATACCCCAATTTTCAAAAATAAAGCCTCGTTTAATATACTATTATTACCGTTCTAAAAGTGCAGAATTGTATCTTTGTTTTATTCGGATTTTTATATTGATAAAAGTTCTACCAATCTGTTTCTTGGTTCGAGAAATTTGTTTGTGACATTTATATTCTTTGTAAACCACCGCTAGGGGTCGCTATATAGCCATTTATGTTCAATTATTTTTCAATATCAAAAAACGCAATATTATTTCTATTTTGTATTTTATTTTACTTTTCAAGTATATATATACATAGATAACAAAAAATCTGTTAGGAAAAAAAGCTTGGAAAATAAAACTCAAAACAGCAATAAAAATATAATTAATAAAAGAATGTATTAATACAGGGTGTCCCAACTCAATTGCGGTGGAAGATTGCAGCTAAACTGTGCTACTTACGAAAAATTGTTTTATATAAAGTAGTGAGGATTTTTAAAAGCTACATTCTAAAATTATTTTCATTTATACTGAGTGTTCCATAAAAGCGTGGCGATACAAAGTTACCTTTTTTTAAATGGAACACCCTATATTTTTTTACAAAAATGAATTCCTTGAGACATAAAAATAAAATAAGTTCCTTTAAACTAATAATTTTGATTTTCCTCTACAATGTGGATGAACGTAAACATTTTTAAGAGTTATTTTTCTAGATTATTTTAAATGGAACACCCACTATATGAAACTGCCATCTGAAAGAGAATTAAATTCTGAGTTTTTTCATATAACTATTCTCTATACCCATCTCTTCAAATTTTCAAGATATTTATTTAAAAAATTTTAAGATTCTGCTTCGGCCATTTTGATAACATTTAAAACAAAAAACTCTAACACGAAATATATTCTAAAATCACAAATAATTCTTGACATTCAAAAATCAATAATAAACTTAAAATCCGTTTTTACAACAATTTTTTAGACTCAAAACAATCCCGTAATAAATAATAAGGGTATAAAACTATAATTTCTTTTTGAAGTCTATTTTGCTCTCCAAGCGAGGAGTACTTTTTCTGCTCTCTACAGTTACCACCATAACCCTTTCTCGATTTATTGTGAGTGACACGTCGCGAAACAGTAGTTAGCAATTGAATGTATCTCTTTGTTCCTTGAATATGCAATGGAATTTGAGGATCCATCAGTGGCATATCATCAAATTGTAAAAGGTCTTTAAAGTTACCATATCGGTTATCATTCAAATCGATCATATTGGTGTAATCGGTACACTCGTAATTAATCTTCGGTTTTTAGTATTTTCTAATTTTACTAGTATCATCTAAATTATCCCAAAAATTTAGAATTTTTTCTATAGCCCTGTTGCGTATGTCTTTTCTCGTATCAAATAGCATACTCAATAACACATTTTCTGGGTTTGCGTAATATAAGTTATTGTCAATTAATTATAATATTACGTAAATTTGGGGATATATATTTTGTCCATTGAATAAATTGCGATAAAAGTTGACTACTACAAGTTATTGTCATTTAGTTATAATATTACGTAAATTTGGGGATAAATATTATGTCCATTGAATAAATTGCGATAAAAGTTGACTACCATATACTACAGAACTATAATATTTAATGTTAAAATACATTGGAATATAAACAGTCATTATATAAACTGCTAGAACTTTAAAATTTTTCGACAGATTAGTCACATATAATCTTAATATTCTGCTAGCCTTAGTTAACCAGCGGGCATGTGATATTGTTCCTGGTTTAATATTAGCCAAATCCATTGGGCAGATGCCATTGGAAATTGCTTGACCTATCTTGTATAAATATTGAACGTCTGTAGATAAATCTTTATGATGTTGATCTTCCAAAAGCGGAGGCATATTCTTCAATGGAATCGATTGAAAGTCACTTACAACCTGAATAGAATAGTGTTTGTTTGTATAGAAACACTTAGATCTTATGTAATGTTAACATTAGATATTAAAATAAATTAATTATTACTTACCTGCAATTTGTGACATTCTACAATCTTTTGGGCTAACTCTCCAGTTGATGTACGAGGTCCAGATGTAGCTGATTTCTCCAATGCTTCGTATAAGTGACATAATGGAAGTTCATTAAAATGTAGTAGACATATAAACCAATGCAATGGTCTTCCTAATTGCAATTCAAATCAACGTAAAACACCATTTTCTGTTCCAGTATTGGCAACTTCGCCATCGCAACAAATGCCAATTAATGAATCTAGTGATATATCTTTATTAACAAAAAATTCATTTAAAGTTTTTTGTTGAGTTTCTGCATTATCACCATTCAACTTTACATATCCAAGTAATGTGGTATTAGGCTCCTTTGTAACAACTAAATGATGCTCTTTTACTATATTTTGATGAAATTTTTCATTAATTTGTTGTTGTATGAAAGAGTCATTTTTTCTCCCATCAAATGAAAATGATAATATAGAAGAACCAACATTTTGCTTACGAAGCACCATATCTCTACATTTCTGTTTTTCTCTAGCTACTTTCAACTTATCTATTATCATAAGATTACCATCGGCAGGCCTTGTTACGAGATTTCGCTGCGTAACGGAAAAGCTGAACGTGAATAAAAGTAACTTTACTCAATAAAGATATTTACATTGTTAAAAGTTAATTTACGTCAGTTGCGTTTTTACTTCATTGTAATTAAATTTAAAATGACATTAAAAACTATTGTTAGTCTTTGAAACGAAATAGCTTTAAATTGTACGATGTTGTTATAAAAAAAAAAAAAATCATTGTTGGTTAAAAAAAAGTCTTCTTGTATTAAAATCTTATACTTATTTAAACTTAATTTTTTTGCTTTTAAACATTCGTTTTAAGGTTGTTTTTTTTTTTATTTTTTTTTTTTAATAATTTAAATTTAACACTTGTTTGTGGTTGATTTTCTTAAAGGGATTTAAATGTACTTATAACTAAACGCATAGATTGGGTTTTCCTTTTTAAAAAAAAACGTTTGTTTTGATAAAATAAATGTTGTAAAGAAACGAAATTTACTGCTTTTTCGGCTTTGTTTTTTTTTATTTCCATTAAACTATTTTATTTTTATGTACAGTGAAACCTAATATTTTTTTTCTCAATCCAAAAAAGAATTGTGTTTTCGGTTTTCAGATGTAAAAGCAGAATTTGTTTTTAACAAATATCATTATAATTTTGAAATTTATGTATCTTATATTTATAGCTCAAGTACTAGTTTTGTTTTTAAAATAAAATAAAGATAAGTTGGGTTTTTAAAGAGTTTATTTACTGATCACGTTATTTTAATAGGTTTGTATTTTAGTTTGTTCAAGGACGTATTGTTAATACGCCCTTGGTTTGTTTTATAAAAAAAAATTCTTTGGCAAACGGCAAAGGGAAAACCCAAACATAACATTTATAACTCGAGTTTAAAAGTACTGACGTCATTTATTAACTTGTAGTTATAAAATGAATAATGCGCTTCTGTAAATAATGAATGAAACTGTAAAATAATGGAAAAATAAAAACTGGAAAATAATGCGCTTTTGTAAGCGCATCTTTCAGACCAGTATTTGGAACTTACCTGAAACTTAACTAAAATTAAAATAAAGTTATATGTAATACAAACATTTTAAAGTAACTTGAATTAAATTTATCAAATCTTTTTTTACTTTAGTAATTTTATAAAAAAAATTACTAAAGTAAAAAAAAATTTTGATAAATTTAATTCAAGTTTTAATTAAAATTTTAATTAAAATTCTTTCATTTAATTAATGAAAGAATTTTAATTAAATTTAATAAATTTATTTACTAAAAACTATAATTATTAAAAAAATATTTAAATTTTAAAATAAATTGAAAATATTTCTTTTTTTAAATTTGATTGTTTATAAACTTATGAAATCTAATATTTAAAATTAAATATGATGAAAAGTTTAAACTTAAAACACTTTATTTTCTTTAAGTAATTTTTAAAAACAAAAAAAAAATTATTAAACAAATTGTTTCTTTAACAAAAAATCTATTAGTTTACAATTGCGGTTAAATGCTTTTACTTACGACTTTAATACTTCTGAATGAACGTCACATAAACGATATAAAAAGATAATTTAAATATTCTTAAAGATAAAAGTTTTTGCTGAACGCATAACTGCTGAACGCGTAGGCAAATCGCCTTTTCGCAGGCAAAATGCGAGCTGCTTAACGCTTCTTAACAAGGCCTGCATCGGTATCTCTTATATTAAGGTCTTTGAAAGTGCTGTTGCTAAAGCAGAAGCCACTATATCAGAAATGCCAAATCTATCACATATCATGGCAAATTCCAATGCGTCATATCTTGACGTGTAATGACCCATTTCGACGACGGTTCTTCAACTGTTTCACCAACAGTTACTTCATACGTTTCAAATTCATATGTTGGATCGTTACTACTCGGTATTGTGGGTATTTCTGAAAATATTTCCTCTGAAAATTCAACCAATGATGGCATATATTGCAGTATTGTTTTCTGTTATTATGTTGATCCAATATAAATTCTTTCAATTGTAAAGGAATCAATCCACAAGAGTAGTCAGTTATTTTTAATTCACATCTACATTTTCCAAAAAAAAAATAGATTTTCTAATGAATCAACGAATTTCTGAAATTTTCCAATTAAGTGTTTATGTTTAATCACATTTTGATATTTATCAATTAAGGTCTTCAACTTTTTTTTAAACTTTTTCTATTTATAATTTAATATTAAGTTTATTCCATATTTCAATTATTTTGTCTGCTATAGGCGAAGTAAAAGTTTTATAAGAAGATTTTTTATTTTGAAATTTAGAGTGATCGCTCAAGAAAAAATAATATTTTAAAACATCGCTATTAGTTGGCAAATTAATGTCACATAAATCAGTTGATATACCGAAAATGGTAACATCCTGAGAAGGAATTGTTGATGGTGCTTCTGATAATTCTGTATTCGATGTAGACGGCTCCATAATACTTTTCTAATAATTGAATATTTTTTTTATATTTGTAAAAGCAATTATTATTTATTCTACTTATTAGTATTATTAGTATAATACAACCCTTTAATAAGAATTAACAGAGCTTACCGAATACTGGTAATTAAATTGTAGAATTGACTAGATTTAAAAGAACCGATATATTTATTAAATGTGCACAGTGAAAAGAATCACGCTAAAAAGAAGACTTTTCAAAAGATTTGCACCGTTTATTGCACAGATTGATGCGAAAAAATATGATAAAAATAATTCCCACCTAATACCGCTGCCCACATCTATCGGTAAAATATTTTATTATAAATAACACATATATATATATATAAATATATATATATATATATATACATATATATATATATATATATATATACATATATATATATATATATATATATATATATATATATATATATATATATATATATATATATATATATATATATATATATATATATATATATATATATATATATATATATATTCTTTTAATGAAAAGGATATAATAAACATTTAAGACTTTACAAAAAAATTAATAAAAAAAGATAAACATGAAAAGAATAAATAAAACTTACTTAACCAACTTCTTAAAATTGTAGAAAAAATAGTTTTTTTGCTTTCATCCTCCATTTCACAAAATGAAATCAGGTTAAAGTGGCGTGAAAAACGCTGTGTAATATGATTCCGCCCACCTCCTGGAGGACCCATTGCACATATAACATTTACATCAACAAGTTCTCGAAATACACCTAAAAATCAAACCAACATTATCAGTCATTATCGATCATCATCATCACCAACATCATTATCATCAACATCATCATTGTCATCATCATTATAAATTAATAAAAGTACATACCAATTTGTTTTCGATCGTACCAACCTTTATGGTCACAAAATTGACGTAAAAGTTCAATTGGGGGTTGAGCACCGTAGGAGTCTAAGGCAGGCATATTTAGATCATCAATAAACAGGATAAATTTCTTTCCAAGTGGAGGACCATAGATACCTTTCCTCCTACAATATTTAAAATTAAAAGTTATTTTTTAATAGCTTCACATACTCAGTCCTACAATCATTTAAAATTAAAAGTCACTTTTTAAAATAGCTTTAAGTTAAAAGTCACTTTTTAAAATAACTTCACATTAGGGTGTCCCAAAAAACAACATTTTTGAAAAATTTATGCTGCCACCCCCTTAATGTGTTCTATACTTAATTTAACAGTCGGACATCAGACATTGTCCGGCTAAAGCCTCAGATTGTCCGATCAATTTACAAAGTCATCGGACATTTTGTCCGGCAAGATTTTTAATTCTTTAAAATAAAATTTTATTCGTTGATTTGAAATTGACAAATTTAAACTTAATGTAAACTTATAAAATATGTTGATAATGGAGGCATTCATTCCCAAAAAAAGCGCTGTTATTAATTGTAGTTTTAATGACTGTTCTTTAACAGTTTTATTGTTATATTATTAAATTTAAAATTATTGCTTATTTAAAATAAAAGATCGCAAAAGTCAAAGTATGTTCGATTGATTACTGCAAACGCCGTGGACACCGAAAAGCAAAGAAAAGCTAGCAGTTGAAAAATTTGATAATAAAAGATTTTACAAATGTGTTTTTTTAGAGGCTGAGATCTCATCAATGGAATATTTTTAAAAAAACATTAAGAAAATATACATTTAAATATTAACGCTATAATCAGCCAAATCATTCTATTTTAGCTAAAGCGGTTTCTCGGTGGCATCCTGGTCCTACTCAAGTTTTCCGATTCTTTATTTATTATTTGTTTAAAAAGCTTTATAAAACTTGTCTGCCAAAGAAGGAGTGCCTTTTTGAAAATAATAACCTGTAGAACTCATAAAATTTTCTTCATTGAATTGATCAAATTTTAATGACATGCAGCGCGTGGAATTTTTAAATTAAATAATACCCCGTAAATATTATATTGTGTTTGATTTAACCGCCTTTAAATAAGTAAAAGCGAAGTTTAAATTTTTTATATCAAGTTTAAAAATAATATGTTTATCTTAATATTTAATACATTAAAGACATTATTATACTATATTACTATAACAAACTTGTTTTCTTGCCGTTTTTATTATTGATGAAAATAGTTACATGAACGCCATATAAATACCTTTTTGGCGCCAAAAGTGGAGCTTATGTGCAAAATTGACACTTAGCATATTATATTTTTTTAAGTAAAAAAATTTACATAACTTTTATAAACCGGTAATGCAATTCAATGTAAACTAACAAGGTTTTCCAGAGAAAAAAACTCAATAAAACTTCAAGTCTATCTAAAAAAATGTGCAGTATTAAATTTAAACTATTTCATTTAAAATATAAAGATCTACGATGATAAAAATTCTGAATATTTAAAAAATAAAACTACAACTTCACTAGCCTAAAATAAAATAAACTGGTAAAACATAACATACATTTCGATTGGATAATTGGGTTTCGTAAAACTCAGATACGCCAGAAGCTAGTCTAAAAAAACCCATCTACAGTACTTTTTTACCTTTTTCCTGTGTTCCTTTTAACAAAACAAATATGAATATATGTAAATATTGGTGAAAATTATTTGTTTAAATTTTATTTCCAAAATTTGATCGGACAATGTCTGACCAAAATAACTTTTGGTTGGACATTTTGTCCGGGACCTTATAAAAAATTAAATTAAGCCCTGCTATATGATAAATAAACATTGGTTCTAAAAAAATTTTGAACTAAAAATATTTTTAGGGGTCCCCCAAGACCATTGAACATATAACAAGTTTCTAAAAGTACCAAAAAAATAAAAGTGTTTTTTTTATCATGCAACACATTAAGGGGGTGGCAGCATATACTTTTTAAAAATGTTGTTTTTCGGGACACCCTACTTTAAATACTCAGTCCTACAATCATTTAAAAAATTTACCTTAACTATTATTTTACTATTTTAATTGTAGAGCATTTAAAACACAATTGCAAAAAATAAATACATGCCATATTGGCACTTTTACAGCTTTTGTAAAAAGTAAGAGTCGCATTTAAAATATAAAATTTTTAAAGTCGATACTTCATTGTTTAATAGCTTATGATCTAAGCGCAATAGCACGACAAAGTAGCATCATACCATTTAAGTATTTCAGCACTATATCAATCACATCATAAATTGTAAGGATATTAAAAGTAAATAATAATTAATCCGTATAGTATTTTAGAAACACCTGTGAAGTTTTAAAAGAAATATATGGATAAAGATTTTTTCATCTTAAACTTTTTAAAAGCCATTAACAATATTATTTTAGCAGCTTTTTGATTGATTTTTGAATTGAAAAACTAGATAATTAATTGAAATAGATAATTGAAATACTAGATAATTAATTGAAATACTAGATAATTAAAAAATCAAATGCAATAAGATAACCTTTTGTCTAACTTTCCATCTATTATATCTTGAGTTTGGTTGGCTGATGTTCGGGCAGAAAAAATGATGAAATTCGAAAGATATTCAACCGGCATTCCAATAAGCAAGCACTTACAAACACATAAAGTTTTTCCACAGCCCGTAGGACCAACACACATTACCTGTTTAAATTACATTTCTTTTTTTTTAAGATTTAAGATTATAACAACTAAGCAGAACACAACACAAAAAATAACACAACACAAAAAATAACACAACACAAAAAATAATTAAGCACAAAAAATAAAACAGCACAAAAAATAACACAACAGAAAAATAACACAGCACAAAAAATAAAACAACACAAAAAATCAAACAACACAAAAATAATACAATACAAAAAATAACACAGCACATAAAAATAACACAACATAAAAATAACACAACTCAAAAAATAACAGTGTTGTGTTGTCATAAAATGTTTTTTTTTGACAAATGTAGTAATGCTACGTTTTTTACTATTTTTTTATAAAGTTATTGTATTGTGTTATTATGCTATGTTATTGTATTGTGCTGTTGTAATGTTTTGTGCTGGAATACCTTGTTGTTTTACTGTATCAATGTAATGTTGCAGTATTTTTTTGTTTTATAGTGTTCTTATATTGTGTTACTAGATCACATTTTTGTATTGCATTTGTGAGTAGTTGTATTTTATTGGTGTACTTTGTTGTTGTTTATAATTTCTTTCAATATAAGAACAAAAAGCAAACGTTTTCTTTAAACTGACCTTTTTTGAGTTGTTTAGAAGAAGTTCAATTATAAACTTTCCTCTTAAAAGATCCATAGTTGGTATAACAATATCTGAATAATTTGACTCAATATTAATTAATGATGGTGTTTCATTATACATCCAGTTCACCCAACATATCTAAAATATATTGATTCATTTTTTAGTTAGAGTTTAAACTGTTCAACGACTGCATTTAAATTTTACCTCTGTTATATTCTTTTGAGAGTCACTTTGGTTTTCATCTTTGATCAATGTACCATTTAAAAGTTGATAGTCATAAACTAGACCATCACTAGGAAACAAAATGCAGATCTAGACAGAAACAAAAAGTTAAGACTATTATATACTAAATTATTTGAAACATTGTTTTTAATAATAATACAGCAGTACAAAAGTATTATTTAAAACATTGTTTCCAAAATATATAGCTATACAAAAGTATTATAAAAAAAATGCAGTAAAAAATTGTATATTGTACACTTTTAAAATTAAAAAAATATTTAATTTCATTTTTCAAATTTCACATTTCATGCATTTCCATTTTTTTTTTGTTGTACAAAAAGGATAAATTCACTATAAAACAAATAACACCTTTTCATCTTCCATCTTCTTTCTTAGGTAAGCACTGAACATTTTCCTGCCATTTCCATCACATGATGCCCCAACTGACCAAATTAAAGAGAATATAAACCAAGGTTCAATTAAACTTGGCAAAAGAGAGATGACGCCTGAACTTAAAGAGTCCCCCTAATAAAATCAGGATTGATCAAAATAAATAGCTAAAAAATGTCAAAAAGTATTTAAAAAGTTCAAAAAATAAAACCTCCTTTAATTTAAAAGTAGCAAAAAAACAATCCAAGAATTTCATTAAACTTTGTGCTAAAGCACTGTCCATAGTTGGGATAATTTCTCTTGTGTTTTTTCTAATAAAATTGATGGAAGGCTAAAAAAAATGCAAATAGTATTTATTTTTTACAATTAAGTTATTAAACTGTGACAAAGAAAACAGATGAAATTATAAAACTTAACTGTGACAAAGAAAACAGTTGGAATTATCAAGTCATACTATTTATAAACCAAGAAAACAACATTTTTTATGGTACAAATGGTTTCATGCCTAAAGATCATGAATTATCAGCCCTGTAATACCAAACAAGAAACAAAAAAGACAGTTTGAAGATTTTTACATACAAATGCAAAATAACATATAATATTTGTTCTAAAAGTTGAGCAGTTTTCTTAAATTGTTTACAGAATTGAGAAAGTAAAATTTAGCAACTGTATCAAAAATATATATTAGGGGTCATCCATAAATTACGTCACGCTATAAGGGGGGAGGGGGGTTGGTGGTTTTGTAACGACACATTCAAAACTTGCTTCTTAAGTGTTACAATTTTGTGACGAGGATGGGGGGGGGGAGTTCGAAAACGGTCAAAAATTGCATGACGTAATTTATGGACGACCCCTTATCAGAAAAAACATGTCAATTAAAGTTGTTTGAAAAATTGGAATTGCTTATAAAAAGGATCATATGGAAAACAATTTTCTTTTACAATAGAAATTAATAAAACAATAACAAAGATTTTATTCTATATAATAAATAATGTGAACTGTAATTAAAGTTTTAATCAAGTCTCTACAGATAAATATCTCCTTATAAAACAAATCAGTTTTAGAGCAATGAACATCATAAAGCATGTATAACACAACAAACACAACGCCAACCTAAATATGTTGCATCAAATTCTTTTACACCCAATAAATTAAACCCAACTAAATATATGGAACACTTTTAAGAAGTATTTGCTCTGGTGAATTAAATTATAACAACATAAAATTTATTATAAGTACTAATGAAAGTATTATAATAATTTGAACTACAATGCTGTAACAATATCAGGTTATTTAAATATTTAATACATCGACAAAGATTACGAAGGATCTGACTTTCAATTTGATCATGAACATTTATATGCTTTTGTGAACTGGATTCATACTCATGTCAAAATAAGATACCTTACAGTTATCAACATAGATAGCAGTTGTCAATTTTAAGATTCACTTTCATAATAGGTTTAAATTTGCCCCTGGTTATGCCTACCCTCTATGTTAGGGTATAATAATATTAATAAAAATAATAATAGTAATAATATATATATATATATATATATATATATATATATATATATATATATATATATATATATACATATATATATATATATATATATATATATATATATATATATATATACATATATATATAAATATACATATATATATATATATACATATATATATATACATATATATATATATATATATATATATATATATATATATATATATATATATATATATATATATATATATATACATATATATATATATATATATATATATATATATATATATATATATATATATATATATATATATATATATATATATACACACACACATACACACATCATTCATTTGAATCACTTATTTATTTGAAAAACCTTAATTGTCAACTATTTGTCAGTATTGAGTTATTAATGGAGTATTGATAAGTTGCAAATTTATCTACATTGATTGAGTAATCAATGTAGATAAACAACAATTGAGTAATCAATGTAGACAACCTAACCATAAAAAGAAGACAAGCACTATCACTTTTTTTTTCTTGATTTTGTAAAACTTATTTTTTGTTAGCTTTTGGTGCCAAATTATAAGTGTAATTGCCAATTTGCTGGTAATTTTACAAGATCGGCAACAATTTGTCAAACATCCATAAAGACCATTCAGGATTGTTGAGTTGAAATCAGCAATCCTAAATGATAAACTGTTTCAGTTTTTAAAGAGCAACCAACATCTTTATTTTAGTATTATATTATTATTAGTGTATGGGGCTAAAGAGCCGCATCTTGACATTGAAAGAATCACATGAGACTTGCAAGCTGCAGTTTGTACCTCTGAACTGTGGTTGCTAATTTGTCTGAAAAAGCTGAATATGATAGAAAATATATACTCAAAACAGAAAAATACATTCGAAAAAATGGTAATAAAAACTTAGAAAAAATCATCAAGCGCATTATACAAGATCAACAATTGGTATATGATATAAATAAAAACATTGACAAAGAAAAAAAAAATGACTCCAGAAGGGACTTTTCTATTAAATTGTGGTTTTACTAAATCTCAGTACATGGTGATAAGATTGGAAAGTAAAGAGAGAGTTGTAGATATTTATCCGCTTTACAGCAATATTCTGGAATCTAAAAAAAAAAATGTAGACCAAATAGTATGTACATCTCTGAAAAAGAGGCGAATGTGTCATTACAAAATCTTCTAATACACTTAATTGATAAGACGGTGTTTCACTGAAACACCGTCTTACCAATTGTATCCATGAACTAATTCCAGATTCGCATTTATGCAAATCTAGAATTAGTTCCACTTTTTGATTATTTCCAACCTCCTGGTATAAACATTTAAATAATATAATGTAGACTATGTATTTACATAAATCTTTTTCATTTGTACAGCAGACTGAGACAACAACAACTTTAAAAAAATAATAGTGTTACAAGTAAACATCTTGTGTGTGGTTATTTATTGGATCTTTTTAAAGTACAACATGGTTTTTAAAAAGTAGGAACATAAATAGATTAATTAAAATACTGAGGGTTGAGCAAGTATGTAACACAGGGCAGCAAAAACTGCCTAATTTTCCTGTTAAGTAATCAAATTTATAAAAAAAAGTAACTTTGTTGACGACTACTTTTCTTGATTTTCTACTATCTAAAAAATATCTTTTGTTTCTTTGCAGTGGCCTTGTTTGTCAAGGTTCGTGTTTCAGAGTTAAAAAGTTGAGAGAGGGTTATAACCATAAGTAGCCTCCTCTGTAGTGGCCTTCTTGGTCTTGGGGAGGTGAATTACAAAAAAAAAAAAAAAAAAAAAGTAAAGTAGCAACTCAGAATGAAAGAGTTACCACTGCATATGCTAGAAATTAACTACAAAAAATGGCTGTCAACTTTTTAACGTTGGAAAATATTCATGAACAATGACCTGCTCTTTGAAGGAATTTTTTTTTTAAGTGGGTTGTATTGGGTTTTATTTGGCAGGTTTTTTGCCAACCCTGATATTAATCACTTAATGATATTATTAATTATAATATTAAATAAAGAAACTAAGAAACAAAAAAAAACAAAAAAAAAAACACTGCACAATAAACAGAATAATATATTACACTTTTATAAAAAACTCTTTATAGTTTAAAGAAGTTCTTGTAAAGTGACATCACTTTTTAAATATGCTAAATGTCAAAAATATGCTAACTAATGCAGTTAAAATTAAACTAGAAAACTGGAGCACAGGTCCTATACATTCATTACTAATAGTTAACATAAAAATGTATACAGCTTATACACAATCATGATTAGTGATTATATGATAATATAGACTATTTAATTTTTTTTTACTGTGGTTATTAAGGTGCTCCCAGAAGTCTTTATGGTCTTTTTATAGAGCATCACAGAAAAACAATTAACTAGGAAGTTCATGCATCCTTCCTTACCAATGGCACTTAATGGGATAGAGCTGGCATCAAATCTTGGACCTCTTGATTCTGAGCTAGAACTCTAACTAGTGCTACACAGCTGCACAATTTATTTAGTTATTTAGTTTCAATAAGATACTTTTTTGATGTGACTAAAAAATTGCAATGCATTTTGCACTGAAATATTATCTTTATAAACTTAAGAAAAAAAAAATACAACTAAACATAAAAAAGCTTATACTTGCAGAAATCTAACAAACAAGGAATGAAGCTGTTCTTTAAATGGAACAAAAATCTTAGGAATATTTTTCAACCAACAGTTTACAAAAGGTTGGAGTCCCACTATACTTGGTTCTAGGTACACCATACCACAACGACTCACTGTTGCAGGGGAAGCTACAGCAAGGTCTTGAACTTCAAATACCATGGTTTGTGACTACAAAATAAACAAATAATAAAATAAAATAAAAATAAAAAAATTGAAAAAATATTCAAAGTTTTTATAAATTAAATAAATACAAAGAAACTAAAAATTAAATCATAAAAAATATTTTCTTTTTGAAATTTAACTATAAATGAAAACATACAGGAGTCAATTTAATAATTTCTCCACTTGTCAAACAAAGCTTTTTATTGTCGTCTAACACTGTGTTCATGTTTTCAATCCAAACAGCATCTACTGGACCATCAAATACATACCATTTCTTGTCTAAAGATATACTAGCTGAACCAGCACGTACTAGTGAAGATAAAATGCCATCTGTCCTGATTTTTTTTAAAAAAATTATTAAGGAAACAGTTTTGAATATAATTTTGGAAAAAAAGTTTAAAGAGAAATAATACCTACCATTCATGGGTCATGGTATCAAATTCTCCATATAATTGCCCCATTGTAATTGATTTTGGATTCAAAACAAAACATTTAACTTCCTGAAATGGCACTCCGCTTGGAGACATAATACCTTTCAATGACGTTAATGCTTTCTGAAGAGTCTGGTAACACTATATTAATAACCAAAGTAAAAAAAAAAAAAGATTTCTAACTGATCAATAAAAAGCATGAAAAATTCTTAATTAACACTAAAATACTTTAGTTTTTCCAGACCCTGCAGGACCAACTAACATTAAACCATGCCGAACAACTGTTGTTTCAAACAACTGCATGCATTTAACAACAAATCCAGGTACATCTTCAATATTTAATTGATGACAGCTAAGCTTTATTGACTCTTCTAAACATCCATAGTCTGTTTTTTGTTCTTTAATTTTAGGAAATAAATCAGAAACAATGCCTTTGAATAGTTTCAAATCATCTTGAAGAAACTTTGGAACATTCACGTCACAAATAGCTCTCAGACAAATTAATTCCTATAATAAAGAAACAATTATATAAAAACTGTTATTTTATATTTAAAAAAAGCAACCTCTATGCTGTACCTCACTCATATTTGGATTTTCTCTTTTTAAATTACCAGCAGCTGAAATCACTGTTTTAACAGCTCTCATTCCAAAATCGTAGTGATCCTAATAAATCAAAAGCTAATCAATTTATTTTTAAATAATTTTAAGTAATAAATCTGTTGTTTTTTTTTCAAAATTTCAGGTTTTATCAAAACTACCTATTAATTTTAGATTATGTTTACAAGTAATTAAAAATAAAAAAATTAATACTGTATTTAAATAACAACAAAATCATTTATTAATAAACTATGACCATAATTTGTTTAAAGTAAATAACAATGAACTTATCTACCATAATTTTAATCTGAAAATATTTTATAATTTTAGAAACAAATAAAAAAAGTAAAAAAGACCTGAGCACTAAGTTGCTCTGAAGATAACTTAAATGTGGTTGTTATCTTCTTTGCCAACACTTTTGCTTCATTAAAGCCAAATGAAAATAAACTAATTTCCGCAATTAATGCATAATCAGGAACCATCATAGCCACAGGTCGAAAGAGAGCCTATAAATGTATGAAAAACATCAAAATAGTTTTATAATAACAGCTTTCTAATAATACAAATATATTCATAAGAGTTAAGTAAACAGTACTTTTAAATTATCAGGCAGCTCTGTTCTTCCGGCATAACCTGGATTCATTGTAATAAACACTGCACAAGATGATCTTAGTGAAAGCTCAACGCCTTCAAAAAGGAACCTATCAACCTTAAAAATATTCATAAACTTAATTGTACATACATTTATATTTATGTATAAACATTTTAGAAATACTATATAAAATATTGGTTTTGTTATGATGAAAGATTTAAATCCTTATTTTGAAAACTTCATAGAGGGATAAAAACTCAATGAAATCAATGTCAGCAGCCGCTGTTGTAAGTGACATTCAACTCAATTGCTCTGAATTTACACTAGAGTAAAGGTTCAAGTTACCAAGGAGATTTAAGTTACCATGAGAATAATCCAATAAAGAAAACAATGGTTACCATTATTGGATTACCCCAATCACTGTCCCTAACTATGTTCTAACAAAACCACCACTATACAACAATACAATAATTTATTTTTGTTTATTTGAAATATTTTAATAATGCCCACCCACTACATTTACTGTCCACCTAAAAAATTTTTCCAAATTTTATATAAACCTTTTGTTTCTGTGCCTGCTGGATTGTAGCTATTTGCTGAGCAACTACAGATAAAACTTCAATATCAATTCGATTGAACTCATCAAAACATGCCCATGCGCCAGATCTAATATTAAAATATTATATTTTAATTCATCTCTCTAAGCTGCAATCAAATAACAGGTATCAAAAACAATGACTTACGTAGCAAGACCCTTGAGAAACTTTCCCATTGCTAAAAAATCCAATTGATCAGAGCAATTAAAAACAACGCATTGAAAGGCTATTGCTTTAGCCAAGTCCTAAAAATTAAAAAAAATTTCCTTAAAAAGTTATACAATTTGAAATATTTTTCAAAAAAAAGGAAAAGTTATTAAACATGTCATACTTTTGTAGTTTCTGTTTTTCCAGTACCAGCTGGGCCAGCTGGTGCTCCTCCAAAATATAAATGCAATGCACCAGTTAAAGTCAAGTAGCATCTATCCGTTAGTGGTGTAATAACAAGACGCCCATTATTGCCAAGGTATTCATAACCGTATTCAAATACAGCATTTACAGCCCGAACCAGTATAGTATCTTCCCAATAATACCTTAAAATTATTTAAAATTATGAATAATTTATTATTTAAATTATTTAAAATTATGAATAATTTATTATTATAAATTATTTATTAATTGTAAATTTATTAATACCCATAAACTATTATTCTTACACCTATATACCATAGCCTACTATAATGACAGGCTGAGTTAACATACAGCTTTTGAAAGTAGTTATGGATAGTGGTAAAAGAAATGTTTTTAATATATTTAACAAAACCTACAAGATCGGGGTGTAACACTAATTTAAAAACAATCCTATGCAACAACATTTGAATTTTAAAATATATATATATATATATATATATATATATATATATATATATATATATATACATATATACATATATATATATATATATATATATATATATATATATATATATATATATATATATATATATATATATATATATATATATATATATATATATATATATATATATATATAAACAACAATATATATATATATATATATATATAAATTGGGTTCCTTTGAAGATTGCCTGGAATAAAGGTATTCTACAATGTTTTTTTGAAAAATCGGTAAATCCATAAAAGTCAGATACTATAAAAAAGCAGTTAGCTAAAATGACAAACTAACACAGATAAACTAACACTACAAACAAAAGTGTATAGATATGGAAATAAAATGTATGAATTATGTATCCAATGGCAGATGTTATCTCCAGACAAACTTAAACCACCAAAATTAATCTCTCTATCATATTCTCCGAAGTGTTTCATCACAAAATACTCTTAAACAAGATGGTAGATTTTGACATTCAATTGTTTTAGGAAAAACTGCAGTTTCATTAAGTTTAGACAATATAACAATAGCTCTTTTTTGAGTTGTTTTTTTTAAAGATCTGACTATTTTGCAGATCTTATAATACCTTTATAAGTAAGCTCTTGCTAAACATAGCTCTTGCCATTTTTCTGTGAGCCAATTGTTATGAAGAGATTTAGTAAATGAAAAAAGTCATATAGAAGGAAAATGTTATCATTAGTGCACCAAGTATTTAGAGATTAAATATTTCAAAAAACTTTTCATTTACCACCACTTTTTTATTGTTTCAATTGCTTGCATTGTTTGATCATATTGAAAATTAGCATCTAAGCCTTTTACTGGTTATATATTATAAAAAAAACTGTTTTCCACCAAACAAAGAGCAAATCATCAAACCCAGAACTGTTTTTGCTAATTCAATTGGGAATTTTACAGATTTAGCAAAAATGTTACCTCCTTGATATGTTAACTGTGGTTTAACATAAATTTCATCAATTAGTAAAACAAACTGTCTTATTTATATAGTGTATATTTAACACCTCAGTGATGGCTATCAAAGGATAAACCATTTTTAATTTTTAAAATAAACACCTAAGTTGGCAAATATATATAAGCAGATGATGTAAACAGTTTACATAGATATTTGATATAACAAGATATTGAGAAGCAAAAAGATTCAGAGAGGTTTAGACATTATTTTATTACATAAATCTTATAAGGATGAAATATTGTCTGCTTTCATAAAAGCCTTCATTTCAAACACAGTATTTCTTAAAGATGACAATGATTTAATAGTTAGTCTTGGTGGTGCCTGTGGAGTTAAATTTGACTTGAATTTACACAAGAGAATACAGATGGTGGATGTTTTCGTCTCAACTTTCCTAGGCTGAAAATTTTTTATAGTCTTTAGGCCAATGATCATCACAAATAAAAGTTAATAAAAAATTTGTGCATCTGGAATATCATCTTGAGGTATAGAACTTATTCATCTTTTTCGATCATCCACATTTTTTTTATTTAAAAGGCAAAAAATTTTTACAGACATCTGAATTCCTCTGGAGTGACACATCACATAAAAAATATATTCTTCAAGTCTAATTATTTAGCTCTAAAAACAAAGCAAATTTAATATACGTAAAACTAAAACTCATTGCATATTAAATAAAAAAACTGTTTTTTTTTCTGGAATGCGTCAAATTATTAATTTGAATTTTATAAAAATAAAAAAAAATTGCCTACTTTTTTTTTAAAACTGTACGTTTACTTGGCCTGTCACTATAGTAGGCCATGATTTATACCCATAAATTGAGCAACTAAATTCTACTAGTAAATAAAGGGAACTAAATTATACCTTAGCTGACTAATCCATTCAAAAGCATTTATACTGCTGACATTTTCACTTAACAACCTTTCAACAACATCTACTGCATGCACCTTTAAATAAATTTAAATAAGATATGTATTAGGGTTATAACCATGGTGTTCCATAAATACAGGCCTTGACAGCAGAATATTATACTTTTTGACAGGAGGCTAATCATATATTGCCAGATTTACATGGTATGATACTATTTTTCTTTGCAGTGTTTATCCTCTACAGTGATTGGTCTAATTTTCAGCAACTGTGTATTGTTTTTTACACAGCAACTAAAAAATTTGCAGTTTTAGGTTAGTGTTTATGGAGAGTACATTATCTTGCCTTGAAAATGTTGTGGACCATGTTAAAATAGTTCTATCATCAATTACAAAGGAGTCAACTTATCCATTTCCTAGACATTGAATACAAAGAAAAATAGATAAAAGCTATCCCTAGGAAAAAGGCTAAATATTTTGATTGTCAATAAGTACACTGTTGTGTGTCAACATAATACAATTTCTATAAAATTTAAAATATTTACATTCTATCACCAATTAAAAATGGCCGATAGTTTGTAAATACTTTATTTTTTACAGAAAGAATGTCAAACAGGACCACCAAATTGCTTAATAACATAACAGCAAGTTGACTTAGTTACCTTTCTAAACCCAGATCCAAAAATTTTTTATCATTTAGTATAAAAAATACAATATCAAATAAACTAGATAGTTGTAGAGAACATTATATTTTTCAATTTGATAGCATCAAAGAGACTTTTGCTGAATAATGATTTTATTGTATGCAACATAAATGATAATAATGATGCTGCCTACACTCAGCTAAAAGAATTGTAAGTATTGGATGCTCTTCGATGAGATTACTTTACTTAGAAGACAAGGATATTCATAAAAAAAAAGTGTTACTTGAACATATGGAGTGTATGCCTCAAAAAAAAATTAGTGAATTTACTCACTCTTCTAGTATCATTACTCCAGTATTTAAATATTTTATTATATCCAGGTCACTATACAGCCACATTTCCAATGATTATATATTACCAATTATTAAAATTTTAACAAAAATCATTTTGAATTAAACGATTGTATTGAATATTTTGAAATATTGTATTGAATATTTTGAAAGATTGTATTGAATGTTTTGTATTGTACAAACCATGTTAGCTATAATAGTAGAATGATTATTTGGTTGACCAGAGTTTCTAGTAAATATAATTCCAATCAGTTGCTTAGATTCTGATTTCTTCTTTAAATAGTGCAATTTTTGAAACAATTACAATCTAAAGTGTAACTGTTATCAATTACTGCTGATAGAAAATCAAGCTTTGAAACAATAAATAAAAAGATGACTGAAACACATTTTTTTTGCTTGACTACATTCATTTTGCTGCTTGACTACATTCATTTTGCTGTTTGACTACATTCATTTTGTTGCTTGACTACATTCATTTTGTTGCTTGACTAAATTCATTTTGTTGCTTGACTAAATTTATTTTGTTGCTTGACTACATTCATGTTATAAAGTGTATTCATAAGAAATGGTTAAAAGAAAAAAAAAAAATTTTTAACCATTAGAGTTTTTGAGTTTGATGGTAATGAACATGTAGCAAAATGGATTTAAATATTCTTTATGAGTTTTGCTACATGTTCATTACCATCAAACTCAAAAACTCTAATGGTTAAAAAAAATTTTTTTTTTCTTTTAACCATTTCTTATGAATACACTTTATGACATGAATGTAGTTTGGTAAACAACTCACTGGTAAACAACTCACTGTTACTCAATTGGTTTCAGTGTATCTCACTCAAACCAATTGAGTAACAGTGAGTTGTTTACCAGTTTTCTGCAATGAAACAATTGCTGCACTTAAAAATCATCTATCCATTAAAAAGATTCCCAATTGCCGAGACAAGTTGTGTTCATATTATAGAAAATGTTTTAATTTTTTCAATTAAAAGGAAGTAATAAATGCATATCAATAAAACTAAAAATGTCTTTTTAGTTGAAATTCTCTTTTTATTTGCCTCCTCTATTTTTTCTAGGTTCTTGGAGTCTTTATAATATATGCCACAATCTGTAGACTTGATAATCTATTTCATGCACATTTAGTTCATAACAGCTTCAGTATTTGACATCATAGATTTTTTTTTTCAAGGTATTATTTTATTTTTTCTGCAACAATCAGCAAATCATGTTTATTTGAATAACTTTTCACTAAATTTCAAAAAATATTTGTAATACAATTAAAAATAAGACAATATGTTTGATTCATCAATTGTCAGAATTATTTTCTAAATTTATATATCTTTTATAAAAGATATTTTATAAAAGATATATAAATTTAAAAGACAAAGAAAAAGATTTTATAAAAGATTTTATAAATTTGTTTTATAAAAATAAAAAAATATTTTATAAAAATATATTAATTTAAACATTCACTTTGCTTTTTTAAAATATTATTTTAAATATGTTTAAAAATATTATTTTTTTATTTTAAGCAAGATATTAGTGCAGCAAATGCTCTAATATTTTAATTTTGAGGCGCAGCTCTCTTAGTAGCAGCTGTCTTAGTAGCAGCTGTCTTAGTAGCAGCTGTCTTAGTAGCAGCTGTCTTAGTAGCAGCTGTCTTAGTAGTAGCTGTCTTAGTAGCAGCTCTCTTAGTAGCAGCTCTCTTAGTAGCATCTCTTCTAGTAGCGGTTTCAAATTTTTCATTAGAGACCTATTTTATTTAATTTTAAATGTTTTATTCAAAGTAGTTTTATGTTTTTTAATAATATTTTTGTTTATGTATAGCTATGTTACATTATATTGCTGTTAATTATAGTTTATTTAGGTAGTCGCAGTAGAGTGTACATACCATGACTTCATAGGTCATCCAGGTCATATTTTTATAATCTGGAAAATTGTTTGGGTAAAATAACCAGAAATAATCCGGAATGTTTTTCCTCTTAAATTTGCTTTTAGCTGAGTTGCTTCAAATTTTTTTTCAAGATTTTTTATAATTTTTGTATGAGTAACAAGCGAAAAAGCTTAAAAAACAAATATATTACAAAAATAAATACGTAAACTTGTACGTATGGCAAACGTTTTGAGTATCCGGAAAAAATAAAAGTTAAGAAAAATATCAGGAATTCCAAAAATATCTGGAAAAAGATAATCCCTGTGACTTAAATAGGGATAGGTGCAAATAATAATTAAAAAAGTAAAACAAAAAAGTTCTTATTAACATAGGAATTGTACATTAATAAGCACTTTGAACTTTTAAGTAGATAAAATAATTAATACAAATTTTATAATTGGTATAATATATTCTTACACAGACAAATAATATATATTTCGTTAAGATGTGAAAGTATGGACATGGACATATTAAAAACATTTTAATATGTCCATGTCTGCTTTACTTATTAGTGCTTCACTGAGGCTCCAGTCAAGAAAAATCTAGCAATAATAAACTTCCAAGAAGATTGTGACACATTGTCAAAGCCTGTATTTCTAGAATGCCATGGTTATAACATTTTTATAACTTAAAGTTGCTGCAACTTATTTTAATAAACTTTTGCATAAGAAAAATGAAATGTTATTTTAAAATATATTTATAGATGTCACCCAAAAAAAAGAAATATGTTTTGCATATGTTGTATTTATTATGTAATACTGAAGTATCAAGCAACGGCAACAGAGCTGTTCTAATCTGCGTACTATGTTCTAATGGGTGTACAATTTTTATCATTATCCATTACTTACTATAAGCAATAAATAATTTATTACTTACTGTAAGTAATAAATTATCCATTTAAATAATGTTTGCTGCATTAATTTGCTTGTATATTCAACACACTAATTGCTTTTTGGTATCTCAATTACAGATGCTTTGAGTAAGTTTTCAATGACTAAAATGCATTTTCGTATAAGTGCAACACAAACTAGTGTTACAAGTATGAGAATACAAGAATAGTTAGAATAACTCTTAGATTCATTCTGATGAAAACTCCGAACATCATACTGATCATTATTTCTAAATCCATCAAAAGTCCCAACATCATAATGGTGTTGGAAATTTTCTGAAAATTGATCAATCGGAAATATCTATTTTCCTTTAAAATCTGAACACTTGTGTAGGATGGTAGACTCTCTGACCTGATTTATCAAGAATTTATTCTGCTCCATTCACAAACTCTACTTTAAGTTGCTCATATTTCTTCAATATTTCAAATACAATTAAATTCTCTATATTCAGCAAGTTGGTATTACAAGCAAGTTTGGATGGACAAAAATTTCTCACTACACAAACAGTTTTGTTCAGTATGTGATGCTTAAAACTAATAAAATATGTTTTTTTGATATCCATTTCAAAAATAATTTCATTGATATTTTTACCTCTTTACACATTCATTGAAAGTCTTTAACACATTATTAAGCTTTGTTCATATTACTTGATCTAAAATCTGTGAAAAATCCAATTTATTTCTTAATAGTATTAAATTTCAATGGAAATTTTAACTATGGACTCTTTTCTGCCATTACTTTCTGCTCCGAGAAATTTTGACTGTTCAATAATTCAAAGCTGAAGTGATATTCTGTATTTTTCTTCTAGTGATGATACTTCTTAAGGCACATTCTTTTTTTTTTCTGTGTAACTGCTGGAATCTAAACAAATTTTTGGTCCAGATGTCCTTGTTCTTATACACAGTATCACATTTTTTGTTCTGCACTATATGCTACTATTTTAAGGAACGCAGAAAAAAACTTTATTTGTTTAATAACAATGCTATATATAAACAGATACACAGATATTAGATATATGTAGCTTTCAGTTGTTCTAGAAAGTTCTAGATTGCTCTGAAAAAGTTTCAAAAAGTGTTAGCAAGTAAGAGTAATAAAGTAGTCTTGTTAAACTATTCCATATATTATTTTTGGAGTGACCTTTTTCTATAAATTAAGATAACTAGGGCTTATTTTTTTTAGGTCCTTCCATATATAATACAGGAAATCTTTTTTCAGAAAAAATTTAAAAAGTTAGTTAACACTAGTATTTGTATTGCTACATTTTAAAATATAAAAATTATAAAATGAAAAGAAAATTCACCTCTATAACAATAAGAGCACCTAAAACTAATCGATTTATAGGACTTAGGTCTCCTCTAACAATAGCTACAAGATCTGTAAGCTAAAAATAAAGAAAATATAACTTGTGTTATTAAATAGTGAAACAATCAAGTTAACAATAAAAAAATCTTATAAACTCTAACAAGTGTGTATACTTTTAAATAATGCCAATGTTGTTCATTTTATATATAACCAAAACCGGCATTTCAGCAAGTATTTTACAGAAACCGATACCGACATTTCCTCTAGTCAAAATTAATTTTATTAGAAAAATTTATTTAAAAATATAATTGAACATTTTTTGTTTTTTGTACTCATACTATATTAGAATTGATTACACACCTATCAAAAATTGAAATTTAATACATAAGTTGGCAATATAAGTAAACAGTTAAAGTTAGCAACTAGCAAATTTTCTCAGCATAACAAGATTTTTTTCGAGGTATTTTGTGAAAATTCTCAAAACTTTTGTGAAAATGCTTAAAATATTTTGTGAAAATTCTTAAAAAAAACTATTTTTCTAAATTAGATAAAAATTTAAAATCTTACAAACTTATCAGTTGTTGGTATGTTTTTCAACCGAAATGTTGCTTTTTACAGAAATTATAAAAAGTACCGAAACCAAAATTTCGGTATCAATTTAATTTGAAATTTCAATGAAAACCAATACCAAACAGAATTTCGGTCAGTCAATAAATTTGACAAAATAGGGTCAGCCAAATAAGTTAAACTTTTTTACAACAAGGGTTCTAAAAAAAGTTGCTCAATTAAAGATAAAAAATTGTAAAAAAAATCCAGTATTAAAAAACAAAATTTAGAGATGTTTAACTAGCAGATTTTGATGAAAGTGCAAAAGTATTTAATATAAAAATAAAAACTATGCTTAATTGATGCAAGTTAAGAATTATTATTTTATTTTTTTTTTTACTATTTTATATTATCATTTACATTTTATTTTGTTGTTTTTTGTTATTTCTGTTTAAAAACTTTATTTATATTTTATTTTATATGTTTATCTTATTATCTTATATATATTTTATTTTAAATTTGTTATATTATTAGGTATTGTTTTCACTACTCTCACTATCCATATTATTTCTTCAAAAATATTAGTGCTTTACAAATTTTGGGTGAGGTTAGAGTTTTGGCTATTTTGTAGTGAAGTCCTTTTTTACTGCAGTATGGAGTAGGCGTAAATCGTGGGGTAAAGCATAAATAGCGATGGTGTTTATCTATCACAATTAAAAAACTGTTTAATCAATACAAGTTCAACTAGCAATCATTTTTGATGCAACTTTTAAAATTATATAAAATATGCTGGCACCATCATCCAACTTTAAATGCATTTTGTTAAGCTTGAGTTAGATAAACTGTTTTATGTTTATATAAAAACTTTAAGTAAACCTCCTATATTAATTCAAGTTTGAAAAAATTTAGTGGAAAAGATAAAATAAAAAATGATACAAATAAACAGGCAACGAATTCCTAATAAATTATTAAATCAAATCAAAAAACACAATAAAATTCTTAAGAATAAAAACCTGAATTCTAAACTGATGAAGGCAGTCTTTAACATTCTGTTTTTCTAAAGCCAAATTGACTTCAGTCGTCCAAAATGTTTGGCATACTGCAATGACTATTTGACCAGGCCATTGTAACACCCAATCTGTACGCTTACACTGAAAAAACCATAAATATAAAAGGTTACCAAACAAAATTCAAACTTTACTAATTTTGTTGCTATAATTATTATAATTGCTATTTTATTCTATAAAAAAAATAAAAAAATAAAAAAATACCTCTGTATATGCTAATAGTGCATTTAAAAAAACTGTTTTTAAACTTTTTTTCATAATAAATTCAACTTTCAAAAGCCAGTCTTCCACATTGCCTTCAGGAAAAAATGTTTCACAAAAAGGAACTTTTTCTCCTTCTCCCGAATGCATTTCAGAAATTTGCAAGTTGCTTTCAAAAGTCAGCTTAAAAGTAAAAGAAAAACTTTTTAATTAACTTACACAAAAAAATATAAATAGGACATAAACTTATAATTATAATAATACTGTATTTAGTTTATCTTATATTTATAAGATAAATTAAATACAGTAGCATCCTAAACTTTAAAGACAGTTATTTATTTCATTATAAATTTTAAATGACATATTCAATAATGTTGAAATTTTCACTAAATATAGCTATAAATATTATTTATCTGAAAATTAAAATATTTTTTTAAAATAACATTTAATTAAGCAATTAAAAAAAGGTAGTTTTTCTGCAGTTCAAATGTTATTTATAGTTTGGGGTTGTTTTAACCATGATTATATTATACCTATTCTTTGTATTGAAAGAATTATGGATAAGCATGTGTATAAGAAGATCACTAATGATAAAATGCTTTGTCATGCTAATGATAAAATGTTACAAGGATGAATATTTCAACAAGACAATGATCCATAGCATACCGATCCATAACATACACTTTTAAGAACTTGTTTACCAGCAAAAAAAATTTGAGTTTTCAAGATCACAAAGCAATGATCTCAACCTGGATCTAAAGGTTATCTAAAGAAATACTGACATTTTGAAACCAAATCAAATTTTTTTGAACTATATATTTTAAGTTTAATTAATAAAACTACAAGTGTCCTTAAACTTTTGAAGTGCAGTGAAACTGTTATCTTTTTTTAGTTACATAAATGAATTTTATTTTAAAAAAATTTCTCTATTTTCAGATAAATATTATTATTAGTTATTAAGTGAAAATTCCAAAAATATTGAGTGTTATTCAAAATTTATAGCAAAATAAGTAACTGTCATTAAATTTTAGTATATAATAAATTTAAAAAGAACCCTGCTTTTATTTTAATAAAGATTAAAAAAAACGAATTTCCTCAAATTTAGTAACCCTGTGGACTTGATGGAAACAATGTGATAAGAGATTCATGCAAATTAAATGTATATATAAATATAAACACTTTTCTTAGATATTAAAATATTCTTCACTTACCTTTGCAATATTTTCAAAACACTTTCTCAAGTGTGGTTGAACAGCTGTAGGATCTTTAGTTTGAGAAAGAATTTCTAATAACTCATCATCTGACAAAAAATAAAATCTTGGGAAAGATGTTCTTTTGGTTTCCAAGTAGTCACAAAGACCTTTTTGAACCTTTAAAAAAATTCAAAAAAATATTACTTTTATCTGTAATGACTCAGGTCTTGGCTCTCCTAAAAAGCAATATGAGGTGCTCCTCTAAACCAAAGTTTTAGGAGAGCTTTGGGTTTTTCCCCAAGTTATCAGTTTGCTCATTAAACAAATTGCTTATTAAATACATAAATCTGATTTTATACTTGTTACAAGCATATGCTTGTAAGTTTAATGTTACAAATAGGGATATTTTTTCTATAGCCCAATATACGATCCCCATTATGTATATAGTATATACATAATAGGGATCATTTATTGGGCTATAAAAAAAAATTTTAGACAAGCATTTTCTATAGATTTTTACACTAGCATTAACTTTAGGTATTTATTTATTCCATTAATTTACTAATAGCTTTAATTATTTGATGAAAAAATCTTATTATTTCTCCTCTAAACCACTAAGGGATTTATATTTCTCCCATAAACCACTAAGGGAAGTGTGGGCGATGACAAAAGCTAAAGCTCTCGCTTCCCCTTAAGGCTTGCTGACTAATAATAACTATAATGCTTCAACCAATTCTTATTTGTATTTAAATTATTAAACATAAGTTAACATACTTAACATAAATTAGAAGAAAAAAACATCCCTAAAAACGAATACAATAATAGTCTCATTATTAACATAAAAACTTTAATACTTTGTTTTAATACTCTCAGAAAACTAAAGATTAACCAAATGTCCTCTTAGATGATAATTAAGATGACTAAACAACAAATAATAACTTAGGTTAAATTATAATTTGAATTTGAAAAAAATTTAGGAAATTACTAACAGGATTATTCAAATAAAATTGTACAACAACCTAAGATGATTTCATTTGTTCAATAATTGATAAAATATTTAATTAACACTGATCAATCAATTATTTGGATTAAATATTTACTTGTTCTAGCAGCATATTACTTTCTTTTAGATTTTCTAGCAAATGTTGATCCACGCAAAACTCTAGCACATCTGGATTTTTGTAAGCAGATACCATTATCTTCTTCCACATTCTATCCATAGTTTGATAACGCTTACATTCAACAGGAAGTTGTCGATTGATATCTTCAGAACTAAATTTTTAAAAATACTTTAAAAATTGTATCTATTATTTTAATTTAAAAAAACTTACTTAAAAAGAGATACCTAAATATTGGTTCTAAATAAAGCCAGGCACGTTGACAAGAAACCCACTCATCTAAAACATCTTGTGTAATCAATAACTTTGATTCCCATGTAGAGATTCTATCTTCAAATGCTTTTTTATAAGGTGAAAATGCCATTGCCTGTGTCATTACAATATGATCATCAAGCATCTGTGTAATTTCATCAACAATCTTTACAATATAAGAACCAGTCTCCTTATAAGGAAGTACTTCTAAGTGCATTAATTTCCAAGCATTTTCCATTTTATTGAGAGCCTTTAACAAAATAACAACAAATTCAATTATTAACTTTGGCTCTAAAGCAAAAAACTGTATTTCATATATATATATATATATATATATATATATATATATATATATATATATATATATATATATATATATATATATATATATTATATATATATATATATATACATATATATATATATATATATATATATATATATATATATATATATATATATATATATATATATATTGAGCACTATTTTATAGAATACATTTAAAATTATTTGTGTGTGTATATATATATATATATATATATATATATATATATTATTTTGAAATATATATTTATTTCAAAAAAAAATTCACAAAGTCAAGGATACCATGACTTCCGTGATATTTGCGAAAGCAGCACAAGTGTCTGTATTTGCAAAAATTTGCAGAAAGTTATGCCTTACCATGAATTCCATGATATTACTTCAATAATTCATCCCGTTGCATTGATTTTTTTAGTTTTTAAGTGCATCAGTTATAAATAATTATCATAAAAATTATCTTAATTATCAATTATTAAACTCCAATATTAGGTGCACCAAGATTTCAAACTCACACAGAAATGGCTTTGTTAGGTGGCAGCACTTAGTATTATTGAATTGTGAGTGGAATTTGTCTCACGCAGTCTGCTTTTTGTTTTTCTGCATGCCGTTTATCTGTTTGATCTGCAACAGGCCAAGATATTAACTTTCATTTCAACTGGCATTAATAATCGTCTCGTTACTGATGATGTTGTCACATACAAGCAACCTGTTAATGAGATTGACACTTCCCTCAACTGTTCAAGTTGTCAATCCAATATTTATACTGATAAATACCATATTTCTCTATGCCTACCAACTCAGTTGAGGCATAGAGAAATATTAATCACTATACACTGATAAACGCACCTTAGCGGCTGTGCTTCACAGACAATAACTTAGCTCTGCATGTGATGATGGAGTTCAATGCTAGAAATATTGACCAACCAATTATTTAGCAGATTGACTATATAATAGTTGACTACATTTGATGACATTGATTTTAGTGTGTATAAGTACAATTTAAAGACAATTTATTTACTATCAATTTATTGTGATTTTGGCACAAAATCACAGTAAATTCGTGGCAAGTGAATTTTTACTGATCCTAATTATGTCTACAAGAAAAAATTCCTAAAATCTTTAATATATAAAACGAGTAAATATAATATAAACAAGTAAATATAATAAAAAATCCCACTAAGTCAGGGTTGGAAAAAAAACTTTTTTTTTTGAAAAAAATTAAAAACTGAGGTTGTTTTTTTGTTTAATTTTTTGTAAAACTATTTTATTAATAAAAAAATACATGATTTGCTTTTGAGTAATTTTTTACAAGCTTACTTAAAAGCATCTCATCGTTGGATTGGTTTATTTTAGCTAAAGCGCTAAAATATAATGAACAAAAGGAAAAAGATAAAATTGCAAATCTTTTTAATGTTACCATAAAAAGAGAAATTCAATTTCAAAAGAAACCAAAAGCAAAAGATTTTTTCAATGATTCTACATTTAACAAAATTTATCCACCTGGATCCCATCCTGCTTGTATCTATGAGTATCCAATTCCAAAGATACATAAATTAAATTCTTCTGAGACTACCAAAAACTTTTGTACCATCTATTGGAACCTATGGTTACCAACTAGCCAAATTTCTTAGAGATTCATTAAAAAACACTGAATTTTTTACAAAAGATTAATTTTTCTTCGTTGAAGAAATAAGTCAAATCAATCTCCACAAATATTTCTTAGTATCATACGATGTAACCAGCTTATATACCAATGTTCCGCTTCCAGAAACCATTAAAACTGCAGACAACTTAATTTTGCTCCATAATAAAAACATTAAAATTTAAAAACAATAAAAACTTAAAAAGATTTTTAAAAACTATTCCAATTTTCCACTTTGCAAACCAATTTTTTTTTTTAAAGGACAAACTTATGATAAAAATGATGCAAGTTTAGCAATGGGTTCTTCACAGGCATATGTTCTTGCCAATTTGTTCATGAGCCATTTTGAAAATAAATGGATTAAAAATTTCAATGATGTAAAATTAGTTTTCTATAAAAAATACCTTGATGACATTTGTGCTGCTTTCCAGTCAGAAAATGACACACTTTTTTAGGATATATCAATAGCAGACACAATTTCTTTTACTATGGAACAAGAAGTAAATTCAAAAATATCTTTTTGAGACGTAACTCTACAAAAAATTAATTCTTCAGTTATCACTACCATTTTTCATAAAAAAAACCTATTCTGGTCTTCACACTAATATTTATAGCTTCACTATTTTTGTACAAAGTTTGTCTAATCAAAAGCTTAAAATTTTTAATCGATAAAGCTTTTAAAACTACTTTTTTTTTTTATAATTCACTTCCCTAAGATAGAAAAGGCATAATTTTTAATCTTCCAAAAAAACTTTTTTTGGAAGATTAAAATCAATTTTTTAAAAAACAAAACGATAAGTTACTCTATATTAAAGATGCCACGAATATTCGACCAAATATTTGGCAACACTTAATTATATTGAGGTCGTTTAGGTGTGTAAGTTAAGTACTCTGTGGGCATTTATAAATAGGTTATGTCACAGCATGCATTATTTGTTGACTGTTACATCAAAAATTTTAACTACGGTTATCCATAAAAGTTTCATACTTTTCAAATCATTTAAAAAAGTTCAAAAATAACCAGCTGAGGTATATCTTGCACTTCTAAGGTAATTTTAGAAAATGCACTTCTAAGGTAATTTTAGAAAATGCACTTCTAAGGTAATTTTAGAAAATGCACTTCTAAGGTAATTTTAGAAAATGCACTTCTAAGGTAATTTTAAAAAATGCACTTCTAAGGTAATTTTAGAAAATGCACTTCTAAGGTAATTTTAGAAAATGCACTTCTAAGGTAATTTTAGAAAATGCACTTCTAAGGTAATTTTAAAAAATGCACTTCTAAGGTAATTTTAGAAAATGCACTTCTAAGGTAATTTTAGAAAATGCACTTCTAAGGTAATTTTAGAAAATGCACTTCTAAGGTAATTTTAGAAAATGCACTTCTAAGGTAATTTTAGAAAATGCTATAGATTGAGTTAGCATAAAAAATTCTAAACTTATTAAAAATGTTATTTTCATGACATCCTGAACTTAAAGCATGGATTAACTTTAATGGGAAAGACGATTAAACAATTGCCTTTTTTAAGTCGCCAAATATTCGTGACACCACTACTCTATTTTCATATGGAATTAAACAGTACTTAAACAAATCTTTGTCTTCATTAATGATAGGCTATCCCAAAACTCTTCTGATTAAAATAAATGTTATCAAAATAATGAAAACAAAAAAGCAAAAAAATACAAAGAAACACTTGAATAAAACAGTTTTAAAAACCTCAAACTAAACTACAACCCTTAAAATAAAGCACCCCTAACAAAAATGGGTCTCCAACAATTATAGAAAATTTTTTTTTGCAATTAATAGATATTCATTTTTCTGTTAAACAAAATTTATAATTTTTTGTTTTTCTAGTTAACTAAGATGTGGTTGTTCCATGTTGTTGGTAAAAAAAAATATCTAATGCATGGTTTGATTCAAAAGGAATCAAAAAGGAGCCCATTAAAAAACCAATTTTCATAAAATAAAAAAAAATATTATTGAAACTTTTGATAAGATTTAAAAATTTTCAAAATAATTCCAAAATAGACATAAAGATTTTTTTTTTTTTTTTTGTAATTCACCTCCCCAAGGAGGAGAAGGCCACTATAGATGAGGAGGCTTGTGGTTATAATATACTAATTTTTAGTTTTATTTCCAAAAGTTACAAGACTATAGTTGTTAACTAAAACAAACTTATTAACTTAATTTCAGAAAAACACATGATCAAATTTAGAAAAAAACATGATCAAACTCAGAAAAACACATAATCTATTTTTAATAAAAAGTTTTTAATGCCTTTGTTATTTATAAAGTTAAGTTAAAGTTAAGTATTGGCAATAGTGCCAGCAAATATGTTATTAATAAAGTTAAAGTTAAGTGTTAATAATGGTGCCAGCAAATAAGTTACAAAACGATTATTACATAAAAAAAATTAGTTTTAATTTTATGGTCAATAAACTGTAAAATTGAATTCATTTAAAAAAATAACTATTTTTAAATTTTTTGAAAGTTTATTTTGTTTTCTTTTACTTCTATGAGAAATAATTTACCCAAAAATTTATTTTAATTTTTATATACACAAAATAGGAATTAATAATTTTTGGATATCGTTTGCCTCATGGCTACCAGTGACCACTAGGAATTTCCTAAAATTTCTAAAATAGGTTTAAAATGGTGCCAGTTATAAAGTGGTTTTTTAATAAAATATTAAAGCTTTTTTTCACGATAAAAAACAATTTCTATTTTTTAAATTAGCTTTTAATTTAAAAATTAATAGGAGTTTTAATTATTTTATGACTTAAAACATGAATATTTGACAAATATATAAACAAAATTTTTAATTTATGTGAATGGATTTTTATTTTTAAGTCCTTATTTTTACTTACTGACTAAGTGATATTTATGATTGCTATTTGAAGTATAGTCAGTGTTTTAAACAATAAACACACCCATTGACAATTAACTTTGGTAACAACAACAAAAGACTTTTTTTTTTTCAAAAAGATTATTATTTATATTTTTATTCCTATTGACGAATAAATTTTTAGTTTTGCTGAACTTTTTCAACTTTAATTTCTTTATATATATGCTAATAAATTTTTTATAAATATTTCAGAATTTAAACCTGCCAGTAAAACTTTAAAAAAACAGGTATTGATATTTAAAAAAGAGTTATATTTATCCAATTTTTAATAAGAAAAATCATAACAACAGAAAAAAGATTTTTAAATATATGTATTTTGACATTGAATATGTAAGTATTAATAATGTGTTAATTAAATAACTACTCTTTTAAACTGACATGATTACATTATAGCACAAATTTTTTTAAAACTTTTAAAAATAAATTTGTTTATTTTTATTAAAACTAAAGAAACATACCTCCTCTATGGCAAACTCTTTACCAGCAATAACTCCTATTTTCGAGATTGTTTCTATATGATCATCAAACTTCATTTCCAAACATTTTGAAAAAGTAAGTGCTGATTTAGGAATAACAGTTTGATTAAGCTCACTTGAAAGCTGAAATATAAATACAATATATGTTTTTATATAGAGAGACATCTAATGTAAATTTCACACTCCTAGTTTTATATTTTTAACATACACAGTTTCATATTTTTAACATAGTGGTAAGGTTAATATAAATAAAAGATAAGACAATTTTATAAATGAATTTATATACCTGCTCCCAATGCCTTTTTCGCATTCCAGGATTTCTTAAAGCTTGTATTAAAGGAATATATGGTCGGAAGTTTTCTACCCAGGTTTTAGCCTCTTGTGCAATCAGCTGGCAAGAGGGGATATCAACAAACTGTTTTATGCATTTTTGTAATGTTCTGAAGGATTCATTAACTAATTTTTCTACAAACTCAGCATCAATTGTAGTTAATGGATCATTCATCCAGCTTTCGTGGTATCGTAACCAATCAGATACTGTTATCCAGAGATTTTTGAAGGGTTCAAAATCTTTATTCAGTTTGGCTAGTTTTTCATACTAAAACAATTTTTTTTAATATTTATTCTTTCGATTATAAAAAAAACTTCAAAATACTCTATCAAAAAAACATTTTTAATAATTAAAAATTTAATCATTACTATATATATATAAATAAACTAACATATAAATAAAATTCTTAAATTCTTCAATCAACAATTATTTACTTACTCTCTACTTCTCTTAATTTTAATAACATTATTTATTTTTCAAAATTCTAAGATGACTTGTTTTAATAACAAGTTTTTATTTGAACTTTTTATATTTGTTACTAGGCAAAAATTAAAAAAAAAAGAAAAAGAAAAAAAACATACATTTGTTACAGTCAAATGAAACAATCTTTCCCGTTTGTTAAACAGCTGCACTTGAGCTTGGCATTCTTTTAACTGCTTGCTAACACGTCTTGCTTCATTTGCAATTTCATGTGCTCTAAATAATGGAATTCAAAATATATGCCTAGCAATAAAATACTCAATTTTCATAAAGTACAATGTTATGATAAAAAAAACTATATTAAACTACATTGGAAACATTAACTTTGAATGTTTACTTTGTTATATCATTGTATATGGAAAATCCGGCAACAGTCATGTTAATTCCATCAACGCGATCTTGAAAAAGATTTTGTTCAGTGAGCAAACTTTTATGAAATCTATCCTCATCAACTTGAAGATTTTTAACTGTCATTTCTATCTGTTGTTGAATTTTACCAGGCCATGCAAGACATGACCATCTATAAAATTAAAATATAAGAAGAAAATAGGAAGCTGTTTATAAAGAACTTATATAAATACTTAGCAACATTGAAAAATATACTTTGTGGTGAAATCGTCGATTGATATATTATAACAAAACTCCTCCATAACATCATAATCCAGCATAACCTTATTCATTAGATCTTGCTTCTCTGAAAGTGAAATCGATAAAGTACTTAAGTACTCACGCATCTCTGTTACTTGTTCGATGTCATTAGGCTTTTCAAACAGCTTTCTAGAAATTGTTTTGAACTCCTCGCATATACTTTCTACATTTTTATAAACTCTTTTTGTAAAAAGCTCAAGTAGTGAGTTAGCAATTTGTTTCTTTTTTTTTAACAGAAACTGCTTTACTGAATCAATATTTACCATAAAAGGTCCAATCACAATGCTTTGTGGTACTTGGTTTTCAATATCATCTTTTTCTTGAAGGTGCAACCTTACATCTCTTCTTATGTCAGCTGCAGTATACTCCTGCTTACTATATGCACTAATAGAAAAAAAAAAAAAAAAAAAATATATATATATATATATATATATATATATATATATATATATATATATATATATATATATATATATATATATATATATATACATATATATACATATATACATATACATAAACTGAAAACATATTAAAAATTCAAATATAAAAATTTGTAAAGCCACACCAAATAATATCTTAAAAAATACCTAACAAAACTATTGAGTTCTAGATTTGCTAATCCAAGATATTTTTCATACTCTTTAGCATAGGAAAGTAAAGGAACCACTGCTTGCTTCAAAGCAGTTCTTATTTTATTTCGAAGATATACAACTAAAGGCTCGCCATCACCTACTGGTTCTATTAAAGCAGTTCCTCTCCAAAATAACCTTTCTAACATCATTTTTTCTAACTGTGGAATCTTTTTAACACCATGTACAGCTTTATTAAATAAAGTTATAACAGTATCTTGAAATTTTTCAGGTTTTGTTGAAAAAGTAACTGTGTTTTCTTCAAAAACAAGATCAATCAAAAAAAGACAATTTTTTTTTGGTCTAAATATAAATAATTTTGGAAATTTATTAGTATTGTCTGTACTTTAATGATATTTTTTGTATTTTAGTAATATTAGCTTTATATTATATTTTCTGTAAATTTTGGTACTTCTTATTTAAAATCAAAAATACAAATTATTTATAAATATTATTATTATAAATAATAATAACATTGTTAATGTTAAAACAACTTTTTTTATACATAACAAATAAAGACTATACATACACAAATACAATTTTTTAAATAAAAAATGCTCAATCCATTAGCTTTACGCAATATTTGACATAAATGTTTTTATCATTACTTATAAAAAAATGTTTATTTTCTTTTATTTTTTTTAAATATTAAATAATTAAGTTTAATATTGCATTTTGAAGAATGTTTGATATAAACTAATTTCTTTCTTTACTCGAAATTTGCATACATGAATTAAAATATTTTATATTTTTGAATTTCAAAATGATTAATTCTTAAATTTTTAATTGCGGCTTTGCAACTACAAATGATTTTTTATTTTTAAAAAATTGGAGAGTAACAAATAAAAAAATTACGTTAACTTATATAATTTATTTATTAAAAGTTTATTAGTTTATTATTTTATTATTAAAACTATATTGTTTATCAAAAGAATAATCACTGCAATTTAACTTGCATTATTAAAAAAAAAATTTAACTTGAGTTTTATGCAAATTTTTAATGTAGCTGTTTATTTAAAATTTAACTTTGAGTACAAATAAAAATGTTTAATAAGAAAAACCAAAAACACAACTGCAATAAAAATAAGCTGATTTTTTTTTAAGAACAAATAAAATTTAAATATTGAACAATATTTAGTAGTATTTTTGAATAAATTTTAAAATTAAGTTAAACCCAAGCATTAACCTCAATTTTAATTAACTTAAATATATTTTTTAAATCAAAATTAAATTATATATTTTAAAAACTAGTTTAAATTGTTTATTTTTTTATCAGAATAAAATTATATATTTTTATTCAATTAGTTTTAAATTAAATCATATATTTTCTTATCATAATTAAATTATGTTCTTATGATCTGTGCTTCAAGCTTAAAAAATCAATCATTTCAATAAAATAAAAACAAAATAAAAATTAACTTTTAATTTTATTTGAGTTTTTTTCATTAGTAAATAGCGCTTGTATCAAACATAATTGTCATTCAAACTTTTGTAATGAATATATTTACATAAACGTCATTCAAAAATTAATGTGACTTTTTTTTAATTAATTAATTCTTTTCATTACTGTTTATAGAACAATTAAAAAGTTAAAAAATGATAAAAAGTCACTTAACCGAAATTGCTTACTGCTTATGTAAAATTGCATAAGATCCCGCCACATCCCATGCCACTTCAAGCACTGTATATATACGTGTATATATATATATATATATATATATATATATATATATATATATATATATATATATATATATATATATATACATTATTATAGAATCAACTAAGTCTATATACATACAAAAAAGGACTTTTTGATATACTGCAAGGCCATTTCATTCCTTCATCCACATCAGCTGTGCAGCATCCATCTATAATTAATTGAGCATAGTTCTTTAATGAGTCTTGCACTAAATACCGCACACAGTCCTAAAAAAAACAATAACATAACAATAATAAATGAATAAGAACTAGATGTAAAAACTAATATTAATCATTATTAATTTACAGTATATTAATAAAATTATCTTTATAACATCTGATATTGTAAATAAAAGATTAACAAAAAAAAAAGTTACAAAAGTACTAATCACCTGCATTTGAAATTTAACTACTTCTAATAATTTACACAACTTTGAAACTTTGTAAGCTTCCCAATTTGTCTCCTCTATGTTGAACCAACCTTTTCCAACATTGTGAAGACTTCCTCGTAGTATTCCACGAAGATTACTTACCCAACTGTCTTTAAGAAACATACAAACCTAAAAACACATATAAACAAAAGCAGTTGTATATAATGAATATAAAAACTAAAGTAGATAATAAAAAAGATAATAATTCATACTAACAATAATATAACTAATAATAACAAATATTTAAATATTAAATAAATATTTAAATATCTGATAATGATTGTTTAAACAAACCTTCCTCACACTAAAAAAAAATATTAATATGTTGCAGGCTTACTTATGGAATGGAATCAGGAGTAAGATAAGCAATCTTAGCAGATGCTAAATTGGCATTTGATTGTATAAATGGTTTCCATAAAAGGTCAGCAGTGAACAATAATCCAGGAAGACATTAAAAAAAAAGCCATTCATCGATATATTGCAGTAAACAACTGAGTTTTGTTAAAGTTAAAATTTATATGCCACTGTAAACCCTAATTTATGACAGAAATTCAACAGCAAATAGATCCACTTTAGATGTAAGATTGTCAGGAAGATCATTAGATGTAAAATTGTCAGGAAAATCAAGATGTAGGTAAGAAACAAAACAGAACCAAGAATAGAACCTTGAAGTACCCCAGAAGTTACTGGAAATAAAAAGGAGTTTGAGGATGACTTTAATAATGCGATTAGAAAGAAAAGATTTGATAATCTCAAAAAATTTCCCAGATACACCATATGAAGTATACTAATGAAGAAGATTAGTATGCCAAACTTTATTGAAAGATTTAGATATATCAAGAGCATTAGTCCTACCCTTGCTGCCTCCATATAATCCATTATAAAATCTTTAATTCACAGCAGTTAGCAAATCAGCCATAGATTGAAAACCGTATTTTTTGTCTGACAGTAAGTTATTTGACTCAAGTTCAAGGGATGTTAAAAATTAGTTGATCAAAGAGGCAAAGACCTGACTAACTGGAAAATATGAACTTTTTTGATTTCAATAATATCACCTTAAAAATGATTAACAATACATTATTGATTAGCAATACATTATTGAGAAGATAAAGAAAAGTAAATTATTTTAAAAAATTTTCTTTTTCTTTAAAAGTGCACTGAAATTGCAATGACTGTAAAAAAACTGAATTATTAACCCATAAGATAAACCAATAAAACTTACATGAAAAGTATTGAAAATAACAATAAGAACAGGGTGATTCCCAAATGATCATAAAAATTAAAATTCCCAATTTAAAGGTGAAAAAAGCCTATTCTCCAAATAAAGTTTGCAAAATCAAAGTTAAATAATAATTCAAAAAATTATTTACTACTAGAAACTAATAGAAAAGAAATTCTAATTTAAATATTTGTGTAAAACTTGAAATAAGATTGCTGTTATTCGTATAACTGCGCGATTGACTAACTACGCAATTGTCTAACTACACGATTGTCTAACTACGCGATTGTCTGACTGCGCGATTGTCTAACTATGCGATTGACTAACTGCGCGATTGTCTAACTGCGAAAATGTCTCTTGGAAAAAACTTCATGAGAATTTCCAAGCGATTTTTGGAATTCTTAAATAGAATTTCTACTTGCTTTTATTACAACTTTTATTATAATTAAATATATATATTAAAACTTATGGTTCGCAAAAATATACATATATTATAATTAAATATCGTAACGCTGGTTACTTTGGCCAGCGGGATTACTTTGACCATTTTTAAAAAGTTTAATTATAAATTAATAAATAAATAAAGTTTAATTTTAAATAAATAAAGCAACGTTTTACTATTGGAAGTAGTAAAACATTACTTTACTGTTTAAAAGTTACAGATGTTTAATTAATAATTAAACAAACCCGCTGGCCAAAGTAACGTGTTACTGTCAATGTATGCAGTGTTAAAGTGGAGTAGAAGAAGAAAGAATATAAGAAAAGAACCCTATGCATCCCCGTAACACATTTTAATCTTAAGGGAGGGGGCGGATGATTGTGAAATATTTTGAAAAATTCCCAATTTCGTCAAAATGCTGTATCAAATTTATTCCTAGTTAACACTCTGAAGATATAATGGTGGAGTAGTGGTGCAGTGGTAGAGCGGTTCACAATGGTCAGAAATACTCTTTTTACATAAAAAAATACACCTATAAGTTGTGTTTTTCACAAAATTCTTTTTGTTAACATATATTTTTATAAACATTTGAAAAAAAATATTTACTGCCCTTTTACTTTTTTAAAAAAATGTTTTTTCATTATAGCATTTTAAAAAAAAGAATGAAGAGTTTTAGTTGCTCAAATTTTCCACAGGAATTTAATTTCCTAACCTAAAACTACTACAGTTAAAATATATTAATTACTACAGTTAAAAGATGTAAATTTTCAAAATTTTAACATTCATATTTAGTGTATATAAAAAGTTTGTAAAAGGCTACATAAATCATTATCCTTTTTTTGTGAAAATTCTAATTTTAAACCTTTCAAAACACTTAGAACTGTATTTATCTAAAAAAGAGCTGTAATGCCACAAGGCAAAGTAAAATTCATTTTACAGAAAGAAAAAACCAATGAAAATGTTGTTGAGTTAAAATAACATTCAATGTTTCAAAGTTCAACGGATTTTTAGAGACAATTTCTGAGATTTGTCAAGTTTTGCTTCAGCTGGTCATGAATATTTTCACTATTCAGGAAGCTCTGGCTTCTGGTTTTGCCATTGATGCTAGAAAGTTTAAAAAGCTCTGCAAAGAAACTAAAACAACATACTTGTCCAGCATCTCTGGTATCTGTTCCTCCAACACTATACAAATGTCTCTGTCTCTGTAACAAACTTAATTTTATCTAAGAAATTTTATTATTTGTTTGACTGCTTAGAAGTCAAGCAATTAATCAAATGTTAATGATTTTTAAGTTTAATAATCATCACAAAACCTAATCAAAATGTTGAACATTAAATTTTTTTATAAAACAAATATGGCCTTTTAGAATTGGCCTAAAATTGATTCATATTGTATCTTAGCAAAAATTAGTAAAGCTCAACATACCCTAAAATCAAACTATATAACTAGTTTTTCATGATTCAAAGTATACTGTTGTAAAGTATTAGAATTAAATATTTTTGGTTTTTTGCCATTTAGTCACTATTGTGTTTGATCTCTACTGTGTTCATTGTACTAATGCACTGTAAGCTTGTTTCTTAGCGCAACAAACTTGTTTGCCAAGGCTTGTATTTTTGAGTTAAAAGATTGGAAGTAGGAGGTAATAATTGAAAAATGAGTAGCCAACTAAAAAAAATTAGACTTTAAAAAAATGGTTTTTAGGGAATAACTTTAAGATTTACCTGTAATGTCATTTGACTCTGCATATTGTCAAATTCTTCTAGCCTAATTGCTTTATTTAAAGGGATTTGAAAGAGAGAGAGTGCCATAACTTTGTTGCATTCAACTTTGACTTTTGAAAAGGCTTCTATAACTTCAGGTAGTATCATTAATGATTTAAATGCAAAATTTTTGAAGTTATTGTCAAAATTGGCAGGCAAAACATCTTCATAATATCCTAAATTAAAAAAATAATATTTAAAAAAAATTGAGAGCAAATTATTTCAAAATAATCCATCTGACTGAGTTAAAAAAATAATTTTTGGGGGGTTTAAAAAAAAAAGTTAGATATGAAGCAATAGTTTTAATTTTTAACTAAACTTTAAATATTTGACATTAAAAAAAAATTGAAGCAAAGTTATATCAAACACAAACCATGAAAATGAATGCGCTCTGCACATTTTTCTTCCAAGAAAACAAATGGATTTTTTTTCTTTTTTAAATTATTATCAAAAATGATTTTGTTCATTGATCTTTGATAATCTAAACGCACTTCTTTGCATAACTTTTCAAGACACATTGCAAGTCTAATCATAAAACAAATATATAACTTGACTAGTAAATTTATAATAAAAACAATTAAACAAATAAATTTATTTTGTTAAATAATTACTTTTCGCTAACTGTGCCTCCACGTTTTGCCCACTCAACAATTTTTCTTAATGAATATAACTCAATAGCTGCAACTCCTTCAGTCGGCATGCAATCAATATATAATTGATATCTTCAAAAAATTAAACATAAATGAAGTTAAAAAAAAAACTGTAGACAGTCACAAAATGATAACGATTGATAATGATAAATGATAAAGAAACTTCTATTAAATTCCTACTAAATATAGAATATTATAATTATTATATAATACTAAATATAGAATATTATAATTCTATAGATTCCTACTAAATATAGAATCCTACTAAATATAGAATCCTACTAAATATAGAATTCTACTAAATGTAGAATTTTACTATTAAATAGTGGTTCAAGAACTTTAAACTTATCGATTTTTGTTTTAAAAAAGATACATTCGTAAACATTAATAAAGATTTTTATTACTAAATAAAACACTTTTAGCATTGCTTGTAGATAATCTAATTCTTTTTAAATGAATAACTGATATTTCATATTTAATTTATAAGCTATTAAATTATAATTTTAAACAACTTTTAAATAATTATAAATATCTTGTTAGATTACCTTATAAGATTTTCCACTCTTTTTCTTTCTTCATATGCATTCTTAATTCTTTGTACAAAAATGTGAGGATCCTCAGCAAAAAACATTAACCTGATTCTAGGTACAAGGTAAATATCTTTTAACTCCTTCTCTTCAGGCTTTTCAATAATAGAGTACAATTGGGTTTCAAAATTATAATCAACCATGCCAACATTTACCCATTGATATTCACTAGAATTACTAGATGTCATACCTAACATATATATATATATATATATATATATATATATATATATATATATATATATATATATATATATATATATATATATATATATATATATATATATATATATATATATATATATATATATATATATATATATATATATATATATATATATATATATATATATATATATATATATATATATATATATATATATATATATATATATATATATATATATATTAGTGATGTACCAATTAATCCGCATCGGCATTGGCTTTATCGGCCATTTTTTGCACAATCGGAATCGGCATAAGCCACTTTTACCAATTTTTCAACCGATGGCATTTTAATATTTTTATCCTGCATTATTATAACAATTAAATAATAAATAAACTAAACCTTATGCATTACTTGGAATTTTTCGGATAAATTTTTACTTTGACTTTGTTTACAAGCAAAAGCTTTAAAAGTAACTAATCTAGACATTGTTATCTATATTTTTTAAATTCTTTTTTACTTTTTTACCAACAATGCTGCAAGCAACCACTATCAAGTTGGGAGTTGCTAGAAAAAAAGAGTAGCAAAGAAATGGTTGACAGAAGACTAAAAAAGTTGAAGGTTGTATGAGTCAGGAAAACATGAAGATAGGACAGAGTTCCTAAGGGTTGAAGTACTGGGAAATAAGCTAGACAATTAAATGTTTTTGGAGCATAAGGAGACAAATACAGTAAAAGAATGAGATAGTGATAAATGACAAGTCAAGCAAGAATGAGTTTTGGTTAAGGGAACTAGAGATAAAAGCTCCTTTGAGCAGCAACCATTATAGTATTTATAAAAAAGAGAAAGATATGCAAATTTACGACGATGGGAAAGAGGCTCAAGCTTAGCAGATAGACTTTGTTCAACTCTGTTTACAATGCGTTTTTGGACTTTAACTTGAAGAGAAAGAGCATCATTAGAAGAACCAGCCCAAATATGACAATAGTATTTCATACAGGGACGACAAAGAAACTTGTAGAGGTAGAGAATGGAATCAGGAAAGAGAAAATGATGAGCACAATAAAGAGAAGCAAGCTTAGCGTATGCTAATTTAGCAATCCATTGTATATATAGTTTCCATGAATGGTCAGTAGTAAATGATAATCCAAGAAGACGTAAAGAAGAGGAATCAGTGAGAGGGTTGCCATTCATTAAAATAGGAGTGTCAACAGTACTGCATAAGTTATTTGAGGTAAATAACTGAGTTTTGTTGGAATTTAAATTTACAAACCACTGTAAGCCCCAATCAGTTACAGAAGTGAGATCAGATACAAGATAGGCTGTCTGTTCTGAGCAAAAAAGAGAGGAATTTTTGTCAAGACATTAGTATTAAGTCGAGTCATCAGAAAAAAGAGCTGCTTTAGATGTGAGGTTGTCAGGAAGGTCATAAATGTAGATAAGTAATAAAACAGGACCAAGGATAAAACCTTGAGGTACCCCAGAAGTTACTGGAAATAAAGAAGAGTGTTGACCTTCGAGGATGACTTTATTAAGGCGGTTATAAAAAAACAATTTGATAATCTCAAAAATTTCCCAGATACACCATATAAAACAAGTTTACAGAGAAGATCAACATGTCAAACTTTATCGAAAGCCTCAAATATGTCTAGAGCAATAGCCTTTAAGCCTCCATCTAATGCATGATAAAATCTTTCTGTCACAGCAGTAAGCAAGTCAGCCTTGGAGCAAGAGGATTGAAACATGTATTGGTTGTCTGACAGCAAGTTATTTGACTAAAGTTGGAATGTGAGAAATATGTTTATCAAAGACTCAAAGACCTTGCTAATAACAGAAAGAAGACTGATTGGACAATATTTGGAGGGGTCAGTATGTTTACCAGAGTTATTAAAAAATAGAACAACAGATGCCATTTTCCAGCAGGCAAGAAAACAAGAATCAGTCAAGTACTTAATAAATAGTTTATAGAAAATTGAGTCCTGAAGAACAATTTCATACGACTGTGACAGGAATTTTGTCTGGACCACAAGCTGTAGAAGACTTTAATCGAGATATGAATATGAGCAATGGAAGCTGAAGAAGACTTCTTGAATGTCTAACCCACTGTTAGACATTCAAGAAGTCTTGAATGTCTAACAGTGGGTTAACCTGTTTAATTAGAATGAAAGGAAGAGAAAGGCCATAAGATTTGAGAGTCAGATGGGAAGAGAATTTCTTTGCAAATAGTTCAGCCTTATTTCATGTATTTAAGCATAGCCAAGTATCAACTATATTTTTATATTTTTTATTTTTTTATTTCAATTCACCTTCCTGAGGCTGCAAAGCCACTTTAATTGAAGAGGCTTCTTTAGTTATGGCTATAACTCACTATCAATTTTATTACTTGGAAACACAAACCTTGATTAACAAAGATTAAAATAATTGTTTGGCTTTGATATGGGTCCAAGTAATTGTTTACCAGTATCGATTTAAAGTTGTATGGGTTTATATTTTAATTAGTTAATTCATTGGTATCGGGATCAGCCTTTTCTCATCCATCAGCATCAGTATCGACATCGGCCAAAAAAGTGATATTGGTAAATCACTAATATATATATATATATATATATATATATATATATATATATATATGTATATATATATATATATATATATATATATATATATATATATATATATATATATATATATATATATATATATATATTTAGATATATATATATATATATAGATATATATATATATATATAGATATATATATATATATATAGATATATATATATATATATATATAGATATATATATATATATATAGATATATATATATATATATATATATATATATATATATATATATATATATAGATATACTCTAGTCTTCTTTATTTACTTTTGCTAAATTAATACTAGTTTAAATTAATAAAATTTTTTGTTAAAAGTCAGGAAAGACTTTCAAAAAAATAATTTATTATGTATAAAATAATAAATTAATTGTCATAGTATAGTAGTAAACATGCAAACTAGGTGCGCTTGAAACATAACCTTAGTCAGACTGTAACAGCTGTAGAGAAGAGCTTCAATATATACTTTGACTGAGGTTTTGGATTTCGGCAGAAAAAATGTTAAAGTACATCTATTGTTTAAAATTTTTTTATTTTATTTTCAAAAAATTTTAATTTTACTCAATTTTAATCTATTAACAACTGGTCCACAAGTTTAAAGAAAAAAAATTACCCTTTGGTAAAAAAGCCTTTCCAGGAACTGGTTTTCGAATGTTTCCCTCTAACCCTAAAGCTAACCAATCAGAAGGTGTTCGACAATCATAATCTGTATTATCAAAGATTTCCAAAGGCAAAAAACATGGGTATATTGGCTCTTTTGATTCATTTTTAATTTTTGTCTTCATATTTATTTTTTTGAGAGGCATCAACTCACTTTCATTTATTCCAGCATCTTTTAACAATATTTGTAGGTCTTGTGATGCAAATTTTCTTTTCTGTCTGTATTAAAATAAATTTATAAACATGCATAAATATATATATATCAGAGCAAAGGCAAGGCTACCCCACACACCCAAAAAGGGGGATGGGGCAGAAAATTTAGGAGCCTATTTGCAAAATTAGAGATTCTATTGCAAAATTAAGAAACATTTTTTTTCTTTTAGTAATACCTAAATGGAAATTTTTTGAGATTTTAGTTCTCTAATGACAGATTTTAGGGGACGCTTCACAAAAATTTCACAAAAAGAAAGTTTTTGAAATTTTTCACAAACTTTCTCAAATAACCTGAAATTTTTACTGAATGTGCTCTATATTATTGCAATTCAAAATCCATCTCACAAAATTTTTAAAACTCACCGGTCAATAAATTTTTATTGTTTTTTTGAAAAAGCTTCTGTGCAAAAGTTTAGAAACAGTATAATAACCCGCAATTATATCAGGTTTTTGTAAACAAAAGCATTATTTTTTCTGAAATTTATTATTTGAATTAACTTGAGATATTTCAAAAGTAATGAAGTATAACTAATTGAGAAATTATTTGTGAAGTTTTATAATTCAATTACGTATTAATATTTTAAATGCATGGGAAAGGCTAAGGATGAAAAAAGATGAAAAAAAAAAACTAATTATAAAAGCTATGGGGAAAAAAATGACTTACAAAAGGATTTCTGAACTTTACAATGTTTCTAAACCAGGAATATGTCACATTATGAAAAGGTTTTGTCAGCGCAAAAATATTGAAAGCAAGCCTCGCTCCGGAAGACAACTGAAAAGGCTTACAACTGAAAAGGCTGATAGGTTATTAGTAAGGTATTGCAAGAACAATCCTTGCATGACTGCAATCAAACTTAATTCAATTATGCATCAGTTTCATGGCACAAACCGTAGCGTTCATACAACTAAATGTCAATTACGACAAAATAATCTGTATGGTTGCTGCCCAGTTAAGAAACCTCTTATATCTGCTAGAAATTTAAGAACCAGAATAAAATTTGTGAGAGATCATCTCAGTTGGACAGTTAATGATTGGTCAAAAGTCCTTTTCTCCAATGAATTAATGTTTTAGCCGTGATAACCTGGGTCCCATTCATCACATAGAAGGTATTATGGACCAGAGAGTTTATTTAGACATAATGAAGAACATTATGCTGCCCCATGCAAAGGACAAAATGAATTGCCATTGGATCTTTCAACAAGTTAATGACCTAAAGCATTGTGCCAGATCTGTTAAGGAATATTTTCAATAAAAAAAGTCAACGTTCTTGAATGGCCTTCAGAGCCCAGATCTCAATCCCATTGAGCAACTTTGGAAGTACATTAACAGGCAATTAGTTGGTAGAAAAAACCAACAAAGACAATTTATTTGATTAAAGAATGTAAGTATAATATACTTCAGGATGTTCTCATTGATTTAGTTGATGCAATGCCTTGTCGCTGTGAAGCTGTTTTAAAGGCAAATGGATATGCCACCAAATACTAATTTTTTTTTATTGAAACTATTTTATTAAAAAATTGTAAATTTTGAAAGTTTTATTAAACATTTCAGCTTTATTGAAATAAATAATAATCCAAATTCAGCTGTTTCTAAACTTTTGCACGAAAGCCTTTTCAAAAAAACAATTGAAACTAATTGACCGCTGAGTTTTAAAAATTTTTTTAAATGGATTTTGAATTGTAATGTATTGAATTGTAATGTGTATATATATATATATATATATATATATATATATATATATATATATATATATATATATATATATATATATATATATATTATTGTATATTATTTTTCTGCATATGTTAAACAGACTTTGTTTGAACTATTAGATAATAAGTAATTAGATGACTAGATATTGTTAAATTAGAACTACCTTTCAATCTCAATCTTTCTAGGAACCAAAGCAGCTTTGCTCTTATATTCATAATTTATTGGATTTTGAATAACTTTAAAAGGAATTTGAACCTTGGGATGCCATGATTTTGGTGGAAACTCCTATAAATTATATTAATGTCTTTACATTAATTTGTTATTAAATAAAGATTAAATATATTCTTTGAGAATATTTAATTTTATATACCTTAAATCCCAACAACAACAAAAAAGTAACGTTAATATATAAAAATATAAAAAGATTTTAGGTAATGCAAATAAGAAAAAGGAAAAAATGTATTGAACAAAAAAAATCTAAAATATTATTCAATTTTTTTACTATTTCAAAATCAGTATATATATACTTTTTACAAATTTTAATCATAAATTAATAGATCAAAAAATTTATACTTTATTTTATTAACTATCTTATATTTATTATTATTTTGTTATACTAACTATAAATCTACAGTTTATAATTAATTTGATAGGTATGATTTCAATATTAATTTGACTAGTAATCGACCAAAAACAGTTGTAAAT